CTTCACCGCTGGATGCCTCCTTTGTTAAAAATAAAAACATTAAAAATCATAAAGCCCTAGACTTCGGAGGATTTGCATAAAGAACTTTTAATGTCAGATTTTTAGTTTAATAGTAGAAAAAAGGAGAAAATGATACATAGAAGGAAAAAAAAAAAAAACAGAAATAGCCACCTTAATTGACGATAAAAGCACTAGAGTCTGTAGCATACCTGAAAGGTCAGCCCGGATGAAGCCCTTTTCACTGTGCCTTTCTGGCCTGCTGAGCAGAGGTTGGTAGAAGGACCACGGGTTGGAAGTAGGCCTGTGTTGCACTATCCTGCAACTTTCAGGATGCCGAGACCACACCGTGTTCTAAAATGTGGCAGCTGGCCGAGGATGACGGCTCACACCTGGGCTTACTCTGTCACCCAGGCTGGAGTGCAGTAATTTCTCTGTCATCCCGGTAGTTTGGGGGCGGTCGAGGCAGGCAGATCATTGGAGCCCACGAGCTCTAGACCAGCCTGGGCAATATAGTGAGCCCTTGTGTCTACAAATAGTTTGAAAATTAGCTGGGCATGAGCACCTGAGGTTTCAGCTACGCGGGAGGCTGAGGTGGAGGGTCGCTTGAGCACTGATGTTGAGGCTGCAGTGAGCTGTGATAGTCCCACTGCACCCCAGCCTGGGTGGCAGAGTGAGACCCTGTCTCAAAAATAATGATAATAATAAAACGTGGCAGTGTATGGTGGAATTTCTGAATTGGATTAGCTACTTCCCTTGCTTTTTGTTTCTTTTTAGAGGCATTGCATTAACCACTAGAGATCAGCAAATAATTCAGGTAATGCAGAGTTGCAAACAAAACAGAACAAAACTCATGAGTTTCCACAGGCGCCCCCACGTGACTTCTTCCCTTCACGCGTGGCCGTAGCTGCCACACTGCTTCCTGAGCGTGACACTTTAGCTCCTGTCTCACTTTCAGCTTTAAATGGACTTCTGGACTACCTGGTTGTTCCTTTATGTGTCTCTTTCTGATTTCCCCTGTCAAAGATAAATGAGGTGGAAGGAAACATGTAATCAGTAATGACTATTGCAATACGGGGAAGAGTCTAGTCTACCTGAACTCCACTTCTGAGCTCAGTCTGTACAGAGGTGACTAGGCATTGGTTTTTCCTGGGACAGTCTCCCTCTGTCACCCACGCTGGAGGGCAGTAGAGTGATCTCGACTCATTACAACCTCCACCTTCTGGGTTCCAGCAATTCTCTGGCCTCAGCCTCCTGTGACTAGGAGTCTTAAAGGGAGAATGAGGGGAGAGGGAGAGGGTAAGTGGGGGCTCAGAAGAGTTAGGGAAGCGAAAAATTACAAAAAGCAGAATTGGGGGGCAGTAAATTAGTCCTTTTTTTTTTTTTAGACACAGTCTTACTCCGGTCACCCAGGCTGGAGTGCAGTGGCATGATCTCAGCTCACTGCAACCTCTGCATCCTGGGTTCAAACAATTCTCCTGCCTCAGGCTCCCGAGTAGCTGAGATTACAGGTGTGTGCCACCATGCCTGGCTAATTTTTGTATTTTCAGTAGAGACGGGTTTCACCATGTTGGTCAGGCTGGTCTCGAACTCCTGACCTCTGACCTCAAGTGATCTGCCTGCCTCAGCCTCCCAAAGTGCTGGGATTACAAGCTTGAGCCACTGGGCCTGGCCTACATCAGTCCATTCTGTGTTGGTATAAAGGAAGACCTGGGACAGGTAATTTATGAAGAAAAGAGGTTTATTTGACGCATGGTTCTGCTGTCTGTACGACAGGCATGGTGCCGGCATCTGCTTCTGGTGAGGAGCTCGAGAAGGCGAAGAGGGAGCAAGCACGTCACGTGGTGAGAGTGGGGCAAGAGAGAGGAGGCAGTACCCGGCTGTTGGAAACAAGTAGCTCGCACATGAACTAACGGAGTGAGAACTCAAGGACTCACTGATTACTGCGGGGAGGGCGCCAAGCCGTGACCCAGCCGCTCCCACTGGGCCCCGCCTCCAACACTGGGGATCACGTTTCAGCACGAGGTTTGGAGGAGACAGACATTCAAACTCTACCAGGGGAGGTGATCCACGTGAAACTGATCTGGGTTTGCTGACAGACCGGTGTATGGAAGTCGGGCACCTAGCCTCCCACAGAGGCTGGGAGACAGGGGCTGTCTTTAGGTGTTGGCTGGAAAAAGCAGTAAATCCTTGAGGCAGCTTGGAGCTTTCTCTCAGGCAGCTACGTTAAGAGTTGGGGCAGGGTCATGTTGGGGAAGGGGCCCTGAGCTGTTCGAAACCGTGTTAGTGTTTGTTCGAGTCTTTACAGGCCAAGGATGAAACTAGTGGATAGAGCTCCGTCAAGGAGAGGATCTTGGTCACCCAGGAAACATTCAGAGCTGATGTTGCAGGCGTTCCTCCTCTTCCCACGCCCCTGGTCTACCCTTCGCCCTCGAGCTACGGAAGACCCAGCTTCTGACTTTGCAAGGTGGTGGCTAACAGCCTGTCCAACCAACCTTGTCTTCTTTTGCAGGAAGAGGGGCGTTTTCCTTTTCCTTAGCACTAACCCTGGCGCAGAAATCAAGCTGTCTGCTGGCCCTTTGGGAAAATGAATTCCTTGGAAAGCCTTTAGATGAAGAATTACTTCAAGAAGGGCCAGACCTGGGGCTGCTCTACACAAAAGCAAATTGTTCTGAGATTCCTGTCACAGTAAGTTGGTTTTGTCTGCTTTTGAGCTTTAGATGAAAGGAATCACACAGATGTCCTCTGTTTGGTTTTCTGCTCAGATTAGTGTTTGTGGGATTCATTCACATTGTTTTGTGTTACAATAGACGAAAAAATAAAGTTCCCTGGTAGCAGCAGAAACACGGCCTGTGTCAGGAACATGATATGGTGTGACTCTCGCAGCTGCCCCTCAGGCCCTTCTGCAAGGTCAGCCCCTGCTCCTTAAAAAATCGTATTATTAGAAAGGTAATAGACAGTTACTGTAAAAAAAAGTTTGAACAGCATAGAAAGGTAAAAAGTATGAACCCCTTTCTCTTGCATAATTTATACAAACCGACTTCCCAGTCGGAATCTGTTACTATTAACATTTATTGAGTAGTTACCATGCGTAAGGCATGTTTCTAAGCATTTTGCAGTTAAGATTTATCATGTGTTAACAAATAAAAAAACACAAATGTGTTAACATTTATCATGTGTTAACAAATAAAAAAACACAAATGTGTTAACATTTTGTGTGCATAAACATCCATCCTTTTTGTCTTAAATCTACTCTTGTAATGTTGGGCAATTTGTTTTCCCTTACCGTGTGTCTTGGACAATTTTCCACGTCACTAGACACACTGCTTTTTAGAGACATAGTTCTGCTGTGTTGCCCAGGCTGCACTGCAGCCGTTTGATCATGATTTACTGGAACCTTTAACTCCTGTGCTCAAGCAATCTTCCCACCTCAGTCTCCCAAGTAGCTACGACTACATATGCACATCACCACACCTGGATAATTAAAAGAAAAAAATATTTTTCAAGAGATGGGGTCTTGCTACACAGCCCAGGCTGGTCTCAAACTTCTGGTCTCAAGCAGTCCTCCTGCCTTGGCCTCCCAAAGTGCTGGGATTAAAATACTAAAAATACAAAAATTAGCCGGGAGTGGAGGGGGGGGGTGCATGCCTGTGATCCCAGCTACTTGGGAGGCTGAGGCAGGAGAATGGCATGAACCCAAGAGACGCAGTGAACTGAGATCTCGCCACTGCACTGCAGCCTGGGTGACAGAGTGAGACTCTGTCTCAAAAAATAATAAATAAAATCAGAATGGATGTTGCTTTATCAAATGTCTTCTTGGTGTTTATTAAAATAAAATGTATATAGAATAAATACCTGTTCCTCTCTCAGTTCTTCTAGATCTAAGCCTTATTAACTTATGTCACGGCCAAATTCCTCTCTGAAAGCTTTTGTCTTCACTTTCTGTACCAACTGCCCCACTCCCAGGGGTCCCTGGCATAGGCTGTTCAGTGCCAGCGGGGTACACCACCAGGACAAGTGTCTTCTCTCGTTTCTTGTGCTCCACAGTCAGTTCTGTCCACGTGCTACATGCACGTGCCGCAATTACACAACTGATCCCAGTGAGGGAGGGCAAGGCCCCTGCTTACCGGCCATTGCAATCCCAGGATCTGTCAGAGCCGGCCCATCACAGGCTCTGGAAATGCTTGCTGCACAGCATTAAATGACACGACGTTTGCATGTATCTGACACAATGACACGCAACGTTTTTAAAATAAAATGTTAATTTTAGAATCGTTTTAGATCTGCAAAAAATACTAAAAGACAGTACAACGCATTCCTCTGCACCCCTCTCGTGGGCCCGCGTTCACCGTCCCCGTCCCCCGGGCCTCGCAGACATCCCCTGGCGCCGTTCTCGGCGTGGGCCACCCCGCGGGTCACCCTCAGGTGTTCTCGCTCGCTCTCTGCGCAACGCCCTCCTGCACGCAGAACGACGGGCTGCCGCCTCCAGCTTCAAGCGGGGCCAGAAGATGCGGCGCCTGGGGCGGCCAGGGCAGTGCGGGGCCCACGGCGGGACGGAGCCAGAGAGCGCCGTCCGCGTCTGCCAGGCTTGGAGCCAGAGCCGCCGCCCGAGGGGAGAAAGCGGCTGCCGGGCTGCGCCGGCGGCTCCGGCACGAGGGCGCGTGGCCCTGGCGTGCGTGGGCGTGGCCCTGCCGTGCGCGGGCGTGGCCCCGGCGTGCGGGCGTGGCCCCGGCGTGTGGGCGTGGCCCCGGCGTGCGGGCGTGGCCCTGGCGTGCGGGCGTGGCCCTGGCGTGCGGGCGTGGCCCTGGCGTGTGGGCGTGGCCCTGGCGTGTGGGCGTGGCCCCGGCGTGTGGGCGTGGCCCCGGCGTGCGGGCGTGGCCCTGGCGTGTGGGCGTGGCCCTGGCGTGCGGGCGTGGCCCTGGCGTGTGGGCGTGGCCCTGGCGTGCGGGCGTGGCCCTGGCGTGCGGGCGTGGCCCTGGCGTGCGGGCGTGGCCCTGGCGTGTGGGCGTGGCCCCGGCGCGGCGGCGTGCGCGCGGTGGAGGGAGCGCGGCGCGCTGGCGGCGGCGACGGCGGCGACGGCGGCGGTTGCTGCGCCCGGTACTGCGGTCGCTGCCTGAGGCGCAGGCGCCGTGGGCTCAGCCCGGGCCGGGCCTGGGCTCGCTGTGGACTCGTCATGGCGACCGCGGAGAGGCCTTTCCACCTGGTGGTGTTCGGCGCCTCTGGCTTCACCGGCCAGTTCGTGACGGAGGAGGTGGCCCGGGAGCAGGCGGACCCGGCGCGGAGCTCCCGCCTGCCGTGGGCCGTGGCGGGCCGCTCCTGGGAGAAGCTGCAGCGAGTGCTGGAGAGGGCGGCGCTGAAGCTGGGTGAGCGGGCGGCGCGGGGCGGGGGGCCTCGGGTCCTGCCGCGGCTGCGTTCCGCCTCCTCGGCGAGAGCCGCACTCTGTGTGTGTGCGTGGGGCGGGCGGTGTATGAAAAAGGGGAAAGGTGAAAGCCGGGGCGTCCGCGGCGTGGGCGCCCCCAGGTCGGCCGCGGGTTTGCCGGCGCTGCTCGCGCAAAACCCCTTGGAGCAGCCGGAACGGCCGGGCAGGAGCGGCGGCGCCGGGGCGGCCACGGCCGCGCACACACGCGCCTATGGGGGGATAGAGATAGATATATATATAATTTTTCCCCTCCTCTTCCCGCTTTTGAGTTTCTGCCTCACTTTGGGGAGTTCCCCTGGCGAAATGGCCAAAAACTTGAGTTGCCCCTCTCCGCTCCGTCCTGCCCCGCCGCAGGGGCGCCTGTGGAGTCCGGGGGGGCGGGGTGGTCCGCGATCTTGGGTCGCAGAGGAGAGGGGGGTTTTGGTTTCTTGGAGATGGGAGTCTCCCTTTGCCTTGTGTTTTGAGGATGGGACAGCAGGCTTAAGAGTTGTATGTACTGACCGTGGCTTTCGTGGCTCTCCTGCTGTCGTTTATTGTTCTGTCGTGTGTAGGAATACTCCAGGCAGTCTTCCTCTTCATAAAGTAAAAAGTTTGCTTTCTGGTTTAGACACTTGCTTATTTTCCAAGCCTTCAGGTAGCATATGTTTGTTGAGTGACCTGGTCCATGCTAGGTCCTGCCCTGAGTCTGGGGTTGCAGGTGGGACAGAGAGGAGACAGACACGCGGACCCTGTTGCCTTAGGGCTGGGGAGACATCCAACTGAGGACTCTGTAGCCTTTAGATTTGGCTGTTAACCCCCCACCCTAGATTTCCCTTGTACAAACAGCTGCTAGCATTCTGGAACTAATATATCCTCTCTGTTTAATCTGCCTTCATACCATGCCCTGCTCAGGGTGCTTCTGTTCTGGGTGAACATGGAAGACACCATGTAGGCTAGATTCTTCTGCAGCTTTTGCTGCTGACACTACCGACACATAATTTTGACCAAAGAGCTTTTTGGACTTTATTTTTCCAGGAGAAGTAATTTCACTATTAAAATACATGCTTCCATTTCTTTTTCCAGCTCAGCAAGATCGGATGGGTACAGCCTAGTCACTTACCATATAAAATGCCCAAATCAAGTTTTATTGTGGGGGATATACCTCGAGCTATTAAAACCTGTATCACTTAGTTGAGCCAGTTAATTCCAACTATTTTATTATACGAGCCTGTGTGTGTGTTTATATAGCATGTAATTTTCACCTCAGAGTTCTAATGGATTTGATGTTAACAGTCAGTCCCTCTCCATCACCTGCAGCTGGATCACAGTAATTGTTAAATAGTTGATGAGGAACTATTTAATTTTTTTAAAGGTCTCATTCTGCCACCCAGGCTAGAGTGCAGTGGCATTGACCTCTCTGTGTCTCAGCGATTCTACTACCTCAGCCTCCTGACTAGCTGGGACTACAAGTGTGTGCCACCATGTCCAGATTTTTTTTTTTTTTTTTTAAGTAGAGACAAGGTTTTGTTATGTTGCCCAAGCTGGTCTTGAACTCCTGAGCTCAAGAGACCCTTCCGCCTTGACCTCCCAAAATGCTGGGATTACAGGCGAGCCGCTGCTCCTGGCCAAGATATTATTTTTATGATATAAATTCCTTGCTGGAGAGGAAGTCTGGGTAGTCATCTGCCCAGCTTTTAAACTTGATTGTGAAACTTGTGTTACACGTGGTTGTTATTTAAACAATGATTTTGTTAGATTTTTTTTAAAAGGTCAGTTTTTTAGTCATGCTTAGTGGCAATTGAGTTCTCATAGCCTTTTTCTTTTTTATTACCTGATTAAAAAGTTTATTCAAGACGGAGAGTATCGAATAAACTTTCAATTTATAATAATAAACTATCAGTGTATTTAGTAATTTGCTGTCACTGATTGCCGTAAAAAGATATGGAAGATTTAATCCTCTACCGAGATTTGCTTTACTTAATTTGTTTCTTATTTTAGGAAGACCAACACTGTCATCTGAAGTTGGAATCATCATATGTGATATCACTAATCCAGCCTCACTTGAAGAAATGGCTAAACAGGCAAAAGTTGTCCTCAATTGCGTAGGACCAGTAAGTAAGCAGCGCCTCTTTGTATCAGAACAAACAATCCATTCATTTCTAGCAAAATATTCCAGAGGAACATAAGGGCAGCGGACAGAATTGTTGGTTGAAGGCCTTAACCCCATCTGGGGAGTTTTTTCTTCTTGTGAGGAGCAAATGGACATGACCAAAGCCTCCTGAGAGGGAGTGTGACAGGCACTCCATGACACTGTCCTTAGGGAATGTGTGCTGGTTTGTTGATTGGTTACATCTGTGATTGTCAGCGTTTTCTTTATTTTTACTCTAAGCTCCTTCAGTAAAAATGTTTGGTTATGTATCCCCAGTATATTATTTATAAATTATATTCTTGTATTACTGTATAAATAAATAAATATATATATATATATATAACTAGTTAGTTAATTGTTTATCAAGAGAAACTGTTTCTTAGCCCTCATATTCAGATGTCATAGTTCATGAACCCAAGTCAGCGACAAACTTCTAAGTAATTCCACCTGAAGAATTACTTATTCTTTCTATTCCAAAATCACTTTACGAAAGATACCAGCCTTCTTCATCTCTCAAAATCTTTCTTGGGATCGTAATTTCTGTAGAAATCTGCATATGCCTTCTTTCTTGGTTCAGCCACACCAAACTTAGAGAGCTGCAACCCCCAGGGATACCAGGAATGCTGCAACCGTATGAAATTGCAGACGCCTGGCCAGAAGGCCACGCCTCTGAGGTTGTGGCAAAACTTTGGAAGCCACGGTAGTTACTGTTCTTTTTTTTTTTTTTTTTTTTTGAGACGGAGTTTTGCTCTTGTTACCCAGGCTGGAGTGCAATGGCGCGATCTCGGCTCACCGCAACCTCCGCCTCCTGGGTTGAAGCAATTCTCTTGCCTCAGCCTCCTGAGTAGCTGGGATTACAGGCACGTGCCAGCATGCCCAGCTAATTTTTTGTATTTTTAGTAGAGACGGGGTTTCACCATGTTGACCAGGATGGTCTCGATCTCTCGACCTTGTGATCCACCCGCCTTGGCCTCCCAAAGTGCTGGGATTACAGGCTTGAGCCACCATGCCCAGCCAGTAGTTACTATTCTTGACACGTGTGCCAACCTCAGCCCCAGCATCCTTCCACACTGATGGACATAAATATGTTTTTAAATGCACAAAAGGAGACTAAAAAAGGACTCATTATTGAATAAATGAATATTGATACTTTATATAAAATGCACTATTGTAGGCACCTGGGCCACAGTGGTGACAGAAACAGAAAATCCCTCATGGAGATTACATTCTTGTGCGGAAGACAGAAAAATAGAATTGTAATAGGAGGTAATAAGTGCTTTGAAGAAAAGTGAAACAGAGAAAGGAGAAAAGGTATTGGCATATCAGTGTTTTTAGGTAGATGGTCAGGGAAGGTTTCTGTGAGGAATTGACGTTAGAGCAGAGCTCTGAATGAAGTGAGAGCAAATCGGATGAATCTTTTGAGGAGACACTGATTCAGGGAGAGCAGGTACAAAGTTCCTGAGATTAGAGTGTGCTTGGTAAGGCTGAAGCATGTCCGAGGTCTGTGACTGGACAGGGCAGAGAGGTGGAAGGTGCATGGGAGAGAGACCCAGGAGCTGGGCCATGTAGGAGCTTATAGGCCATGGTCAGGATTTGGATTCTATTTTTTCTGGGTGTGACCAAGAGTCATTGAATGGTTGAAAGTAAAGGCTTCATCTGATTTAGATGTGAAGTTCTTTGGCTTCTGAATGGGAAAAATAGATAATAAGGGACATGCAATGGAATGGTCCAAGCATAAGCAGCCCCACGGAAGTAGTGGTAGAGGTGCTGGGAAGGAGTCGGGTTGGTAGAGGTGCTGGGAGGGAGTTGAGATCGGAGTGTATTTTCAGGAACAGCTTTTGAATGTTCTTAAGAAAAACTCATCAAGTCACAGGCCATCAGACTTTTGGCCTGTTTAACAAGGTGAATGTTGGGGACATTTAGTGATCTGAAGAAGCCCTCACAGTTGACAAGATATTTAAAAATTAAACATCTAAACTATTAACAATTTTTAGGGAGAGCAAAAGGTTTTTGAATTGCTGTTACAAAAAGATGTTGTTTATTTGGATTTATCTCATTCTTAACTAGCTTAGATTCCATCCATCAGGTCCATTGCTCCACTCTGTAGTGTACACCCTGTCTCCCTTGCCTTTTTCTCCTCAGTACTCTGGAAAAGTCTCAGCCCTGGTTCTTCTCTGCCTACTCTTCACCTGAATATGAGTAACCCATTGTGGCTGGAGAAAAATGTATCCCCATGCTAACTGGCCACACTTCAAATATGTGTTTCCAAACCTCGTGTGGGGCTCAGCACCTCCAGCAGTTCTGCTCCGTTTCCCTCAGGAATTGTCTCTCCTGCTCTCTGGAGCAGCTTTACAACCGTGTTTTCCTTGCACTTTTAATATCCCATCTCTCTTTCCTTGTTCTTATCTGATGATTTTTTTTCTTTTTTTTAACTATGAAAGTAGAAGCTGATTAATAACAGAATTTCTTTCTGCATCTTCCTACCACCAGATTTACCTGTCTGCCAATCTGCACCGTACCTGTGGTCTGCCATGTCTTGTCACAAGGCAAAACTGCTCCTGTTCCTGTTGGGCACAGTGTTCAAAGACTTTATGTTTACAGTTACACATTATCTTGTTATCAAATTTCCCCTCTTTACTGGATTGTTTCTTTTTTGGGTGTGCTGTCTATAAGTTTATTGTCTTCATCTGGAAAATCCTCCTAGAAGATTGTTTGGTTTAGCTCTCGGCAGCCCGCTCCTGAGCACTGAGGAAGCTTGCCTTCTTTGAGCTACTCAATCTTCCTTCTGAGCAAGGGACATTTTGGGATGGTTCCACCTCTTCTTTTTAACTTCTTTCTTGGGCTTTTTTTCATAAACTGGATTCTCTCGGATAGCAGCATGAGCTTTCTTACACATCTTTTCTGTCATGTCTGGAGTTACGCTGTTCTTTATGTATTGAGAGAACTGTTTCTTGTAAGCATCTTCATCTTCTTCATTAAGTAGCGCCTGTAATCTGCAACATTCTGGTCCATGGTGTGCTTCCGGTGTACTTCTGCATTAAATTCCTTGCTTTCAGAATCATAACCAGGGAATCGTTTGCTACTGTGAGGGATAGACAAGCCCCCATCCACAGTTACCGTCAGGGCGCCAAAAACTGTATTATCAGTGTAGTTCTGGCAAGGCCTGCATCCAAATAGCAGGTAAAGGCACCTGGCTGACCATCAGTGCTTTCCACTTGGTATTCTTCACCAGTCACCTCCGCTTGGCCTTCATAGATCTTGTCCAGGCCAAACCTACTGAGAAGCCTGCGGGCCAGCAGCAGGCCGGCGCGGCCGCCGCGGCGTCGTTTGTCAGGCCAGCCTGCACACTGTATGTTGGCAGCTCATGTACGTAGGCTGCGCAGACTATTGTATCCCCCTCTATGTGGGCATCAGCAGTCTGACAAATGGTATCTCTGTTACATGAACTATCATCCTGTTTTTGGGCGTGTTCTATTTATTTTTATCCTGTATCGTCAAGTGTTTTCAAGCATAGTGATCAGTTTTACCCTCTCGTTGTTTTCTAAATTTCTCTTGGTATCTCTTAAAGTGGGTCTTATTCTTAACAACTTTAACATACCCCATCCTGTGGAACAGAGACCTGCAGACCCAGCAGCGCTTGAGGGTGGAAAAGGTACATTATTTCTATCAGCATTTAAATATGTGATATCTCCCATCTTTAAAAGTTGCTTGATTCCACATCCCTTCCAACTACTCCATTTTTGTGCCCCCTTTTAACAGCCTCCTTGAAAGGATTCTCATGACTCACTCTCTCTACTTCCTCACCTGCTACTCTGTCTTAAACCACTCTTAGCGACCTTGTGTTCTCCTCCCTACTCCAGTGGAGGCACTCTGCCGAAGAGCCTTCCTGTGAAATCCAGCCCTCATCCGAAAGCTTTCAGCATTTCACCCAGTTGACCACTTCCTGCTTTCTTCACTTGGCTTCTACATTGTCATCCTCTTGTAGTTTTCCTCCTGTCCACCAGCGTCACCCTGGAAGTCCTAGTCTCCTCCATGGCATCTTTTTATCCTCCCGGCTTTAAATGCCTGAGGCCTCAGTGTTCAAGCTTTAGAAACTCAATAACCTTTTGAGGCATTAGGCTGCGGTATAATGAAGATGACTGACTGAAGAGGGGTAGTGGCCCCTCTGTGTTACGAAACTCTCCCACAGCCCTCAGGATACCGGTTGTGCCCTGTCTTCAACACGTGACCACTTAACATGGCCCAGGGAATGTCTTATAGTCAGCCCATATGTTAACTGTTAATTTTATCTTTTTCTTTGTAGTTTTTTAAAAAATTAACATGAATGAAAGTTCTAATATTTACTTCCACACCCAGTGGATCATTCTGTGCTTCCCTTGGGAGAAGCACACCTACTTGGGAGACCACTTGGTTAGAAGATGGAGCACTGAGGGCCAGGCATGGTGACTCACACCTGTAATCCCAGCACTTTGGGAGGCTGAGGTGGATGGATCACTTGAGGTCAGGAGTTTGAGACAAGCCTGGCCAACATGGAGAAACCCCATCTCTACTAAAAATAAAAAAAATTAGCTGGACGTGATGGCAGATGCTGGTAATCCCAGCTACTCGGGAGGCTGAGGCAGGAGAATCTCTTGAACCCAGGAGGCAGAGGTTGCAGTGAACTGAGATTGCACCACTGCACTCCAGCCTGGGCAACAACAGTGAAACTCTGTCTACCAGAAAAAAAAAAAGAAAGTGGAGCATTGGGAGCAGGGTTGTAGTTTTAACCTCTGAGCTAACTGGCCTCGCAGGGGAGAGGTGTCCTCCTTGAGATGAAGGATTGCTACTCTGTGTTCACGTATCTCAGACCAGCCCAGGGTACTAATGGAGAAAAATCTAACAACTTCATAAAATGGGAATAAGTTAGTGAGAAGTCTCAACTCCAGATTACTCAAAGAAGTGGGCCAGATGTGACAAAATGCAGTAAAAGTGAGGAATGTGCAGACTGTGGCAAATAGGAAAATGTGTTTTCTTTCCATAAGGAACTACTATTATTTTAATAAGCTCATTAATACTTAACTGCAGCTGGCCGGTACTTGTAGATGAACTGCCTAGCTGATGGGCTCACTAGCCAGACAAGAGAAGTGAGCCTGAGGCTGTAAGGCAGAGCCTGGAGGAGCTGGCAGATAGCCAGGCAGAATGGAGGGAAGATGTTCCAGGTAGTAGAAGCAGGCACACTGGGTGTGAAGCGCATGCTTGGGGCATTACATGGAATTCAGAACTGCAGGGACATGAGAATTAAGAGGCTGTGGTAAGATACGATGCTAAGGACTTTCTGTGACATGCTAAGAAGTTTGGACTTTGTACTGTATCCTGAAGGGTTTTAAGAGCGGTTATTTTGTAGGAGTGGGCCAGGAGGAAAGGTGACATCAGATTTTAGAATAACAATTTGTTACATATGAAAAAATGCTCATCATCACTGGTCATTAGAGAAATGCAAATCAAAACTGCACTGAGATACCATCTCACGCCAGTTAGAATGGCGATCATTAAAAAATCTGGAGACAACAGATGCTGGAGAGGATGTGGAGAAATAGGAACACTTTTACACTGTTGGTGGGAGTGTAAACTAGTTCAACCATTGTGGAAGACAGTGTGGCGATTCCTCAAGGACCTAGAAATAGAAATTCCATTTGACCCAGCAATCCCATTACTGGGTATATATCCAAAGGATTATAAGTCGTTCTACTATAAGGACACGTGCACACAAATGTTCATTGCAGCACTGTTTACAACAGCAAAGACCTGTGAACCAACCCAAATGCTCATCGATGATAGACTGGACAGGGAAAATGTGGTACATGTACACCATGGAATATTATGCAGCCATCAAAAACGATGAGTTTGTGTACTTTGTAGGGACATGAATGAACCTGGAAACCATCATTCTCAGCAAACTGACACAAGAGCAGAAAATCAAACACTGCGTGTTCTCACTCATAGGCAGGTATTGAACAATGAGAACACATGGACACAGGGAGGGGAGCACTACACACTGGAGTGTGTCAGGGGGAAATACGGGAGGGACAGCGGGGGGTGGGGAGGTGGGGAGAGAGAGCAGGGGGAGAAATGCCAGATATAGGTGAAGGGGAGGAAGGCAGCAAATCACCCTGCCACGTGTGTACCTGTGCAACAATCTTGCATGTTCTTCACATGTACCCCCAAACCTAAAATGCAATTAAAAAAAATAAGCCAATCCTCTTTTTTTTTTTTTTGAGACGGAGTTTCACTCTTGTTACCCAGGCTGGAGTGCAATGGCGCGATCTCGGCTCACCGCAACCTCCGCCTCCTGGGTTCAGGCAATTCTCCTGCCTCAGCCTCCTGAGTAGCTGGGATTACAGGCACATGCCACCATGCCCAGCTAATTTTTTGTATTTTTAGTAGAGACGGGGTTTCACCATGTTGACCAGGATGGTCTCGATCTCTCGACCTCGTGATCCACCCGCCTCGGCCTCCCAAAGTGCTGGGATTACAGGCTTGAGCCACCACGCCCGGCAGCCAATCCTCTTAAAAAAAAAAAAAAAAGGTTCCTTTCAAACATGGTTATCTTTTGAAGTAGCATTGCGCTTAAAATTGGAAGCCCTTCCATATCAGAGAGAAATCATATCTGTGAAACTAGAGAGGCTGCTCAGATGACTGCACACCAGCAGTCCTTCCTGATTTTACCAGTAGTAATATCATTAAGACAATTGTCCAATTTTGTGAATCTCGGAGGTTTGGTTTTTTGTTTTTGTTTTGTTTTGTTTTCAAACACAGTATTGTACAAAAAGAAAACAAAACCCAATTTGTTATTTATTTGGAGATGGGACTAGCTGGCTGCCGTGTAACCATTTAGGGCCTATTTGTAGTAAATTAGATGAGTGTCGACAGGGTCTGAACTAAGATACAATTGTGTAAGGGAGAGGAAACTGGATAAAACTTTGTGACTTCCAATATAGGTATTGTGAAAGACTGCTTCCAGATTTTTTTTTTTTTTTTTTTTTAAGGCGGGATCTTGCTCCGTCACCCAGGCTAGAGTGCAGTGACGCGGTCTCATCTCACTGCAACCTCTGCCTCCTGGGTTCAAGCAATTCTCCTGTCTCAGTCTCCTGAGTACCTGGAACTACAGGCGCATATCACCACCTCCAGCTAATTTTTGTATTTTTAGTAGAGATGAGGTTTCACCATATTGGTCAGGCTGGTCTTGAACTCTTGACCTCAGATGATTTACCTGTCTTGGCCTTCCAAAGTGCGGGGATTACAGGTATGAGCCACTACACCCAACCTGCTTCCAGGTTTTAACCTGAGAATTATGTGGGGAGTAATGCCATTAATAATAACAAGAATATCTGAATGCCATGTGCCTGGTACAGTGCTAAGTTCTTCGCATTCTCTTATTTCGTCCTCACAACTACCCAAGGAAGTCGGTGGCGTTATTAATCACCATTCTTTGATTGAAGAGGTTGATGCTTAGAGAAAGTGACTTGCCCAAGGTCACACAGCTAGCGGCTACCGAGCCGGGGTATCCGTCTGGCCTGACTTTAAAGTCCGTATTCTAGACCACTCTGCTCTTCAGCCATTTGCACACTTTTGATTCCCTTCAAATAAGAGTCTTCCCTTATTTGAACACATCAGGAAGATGTTAGAAGTGGGACCTGGGCAGGCTGAACTAGAGGCTATACTTTGTTTTTTCGTTTTATGTTTTTGAGATGGGGGTCTCACTTTGTTGCCCAGGCTAGAGTACAGTGGCATGAACACAGCTGACTACAGCCTCAACCTCCTGGGCTCAAGTGATCTTCCCTCCTCAGCCCTGCAAGTAGCTGGGACTACAGGCACATGCCACCACATCTAGCTAATTTTTGTATTTTTTGTAGAGGCAGGGTTTTACTGTGTTGCTCAGGGTGGTCTCTAGCTCCTGAGCTCAAGTGATTGATTCACCTTGGTCTCCCAAAGTGTTGCAATTACAGACATGAGCCACTGTGCCTGACCATGTTTGTGTGTGTGTGTGTGTGTGTGTGTGTGTGTGTGTATGTATGTATATCCGTGTGTGTGTATATGTATGTATTTTTCTTAGGGAGACAGCTTCTCAGAGTGATCCTTCTGGCTCAGCCTCCTAAAGTGCTGGAATTACAGGTTTGAGCCACCACACTGGCCTGCAGGCTTCATGTTGAAGTATGTGCTAGGAAGTAGAGGAGGAGGAGAAATAGGTTTGGAGAGAGATGATGAATTCAGTTTTAGACTTGTTGAAATTGAAGAGCTGCTAGATACTTTGCATCAAGACAAAAACACAAATTAATACATTGTTTGTATATGTGTTTTATAAGTGAGAAAATCAGGGTGAAGAGAAAATAAGAGGAAAATGTAGGCAAAGTGAAATTAGTTTTATGTGTGACTCATGCCGCATGTCCTGTGCTGTCCCTGCTCCTGACCTTTCTAACAAAACCACAGATGGGGAAACCTTATTAGTGAGCAACTCTAGACATAGAGGTTGGAAGTCGCCAGCTCAGATTTTATTGAAGTTGGGAGAGTAGGTGAGATTTCCTGGGAGAATGTCCAGGGCAGTGATTCTCCATCTTTGAAGTACACAAGAATCACCTGTGAGGATTATTTAAAATGCAGCTTACTGGGGTCTACCTCAGAAAGCAGGATTCTGGGGGTCTGGAGTGGGACTGAGTAACCAGCATGTGACCCAGGAGATTCCAAAGCAGGTGGACTAATGGCCAGTTTCAGAAATTTTGGGGTAAAATAACCCCAAGGGGCACACCCTTTCCTCATTTGACTTCTCATCCTTTTGCTCTATAATTTCTCTATATACTTCATCACACTCCTTCTCCTCTCCAGAATCTTCTGAATCCTTGTCCTCATCGTCTGTCTGAAACAGCTCCAGGGCCGAAGGCACCAAAGCCCAAACAGACCACGCCGGAATAGAAATATCCTTTACTCCTCCTCGTCGGAGCTTCCTTAAAGCAGTACCCACTGTTTCCCATTCTTCCGCGGTCAGTGCTTCCTGCTCAGGAAACCACGTCACAGATTGTTCAGCCACATCGAAAGCTGTGTTAAACTCAGCACCAGCTTCAGTTCCCCTCTTCCGAGCAGCTGTTGAAGGAAACCAGAACAAGCCTCTCACTGGCTTGATCCTTGTCCCCTGTTGCCCTCAGGATGCTGGGAAATGTTTTCAGGTTCTCCCTAACTCACCTGGGAGAGTCTTTCAAAATTTCCTGGATCCCTTCCAAGTTCCCAACTTACCCCGGGGATTTTTTTCAAGAGTACTCGGGATACCTTCAGCTTAGCCTCCCGTCTCTCCTTTGTTCAGGCAACTCTTCATCCCGGGTTCGAGTCCCCACACTTGGGCACTACTTACCGAGTACCAGCTTGGCCAGGGAGACCCCACCCAGGCAGCGCTGAAGGCAGCGAGAGGCAGACACACAGAACAGCAAGGTGGATCTATCTAGGGGGAGCAGCCTACCCAGCTGAGAGCCTCAGGGCTGACAGCATTCCAGGCTGAAGGCCCCCAGCAGATTCTCATCCACATACTTAGTCTCTCTGAACAGGTGAACATTATTAATAAACAGATGTCCTGCATTCACTTGTAACTCATAAATATTCCAAATAGGCAGCTGTTAACCTGCCTACCACTAATTACAAACTAAAAGGTGTTCACAAGGGAGCCACGGGGGCAGGATGAACTTAATATTTCTCAATACTGCCCGCCTGGGCCTCCCAAAGTGTTGGGATTACAGACATGAGCCACTGTGCCTGGTCATTTTCTCAATTTATCTTTAGGCTATTTTTATTAACATTTGATTTCTTGATAACTAGGACTGTTCACTTCCAGGATTAGATGGCATTTTATTCATTTAAAGTTATCAAGAATAACCTGTTTGTTCTTTTTATTTCCCTAGTATCGATTTTATGGAGAACCTGTAATAAAAGCGTGTATAGAAAATGGAACCAGTTGTATCGACATCAGTGGAGAACCTCAGGTATATAAGACGAAAAGGAAAAAAAAATATCTAGTGCAATTCTGCAGACATATTTAGAAGCCAGCAACTCCTTTCTAGTGTTTAGAGATGGTATTTGTATGGTATTCCATTGATAGCTCAAAGGAGAGCACTGATGGTAAGGTCTTGGCTTCGGCTTTCTTGAATTTTATTCTTTACAACATCATTTATTTTCCATCCGTGCTTTTTCTAGCTACTTCATGCTTTAAACTGAATTAATTAAGATAACAGACTATACATAATTCTTAAATCTCACTTTTGTAATGTTTTCATTTTGAATTTCCTTTTAAAAATCAGATACCTTTATAACATTACAGAAAAATAAAGGTAAAATTCACTAGTATAAAATCAACCTAAACATTTTAAATGTTCACATTTATTGAATGCTTACCATGTGCCCAACATTGTGCTGTTTTATGTAACTTTTAAAAAACATAGAGTAGTTACCATCTTGCTTTATTTTTTATTTTTATTTATTTATTTTTTCGAGACGGAGTTTCACTCTTGTTACCCAGGCTGTAGTGCAATGACGCGATCTCAGCTCACCACAACCTCCGCCTCCTGGGTTCAGGCAATTCTCCTGCCTCAGCCTCCTGAGTAGCTGGGATTACAGGCACGTGCCACCATGCCCAGCTAATTTTTTGTATTTTTAGTAGAGATGAGGTTTCACCATGTTGACCAGGATGGTCTCGATCTCCCGACCTCGTGATCCACCTGCCTCGGCCTCCCAAAGTGCTGGGATTACAGGCGTGAGCCGCCGCTCCCGGCGCTTTATTTTTTATCAATGAGATAATTAAAGCTTAGGAAGCTTAAGTAACTTGCTCAGTAACGTAGAAGAACTAGGTCTTCAATTGAGGTTTGCTTGACCACAGAAAGTTGTGTTTTTAACAGGTGTTAATCTATAATACAACCTTTAAAATGGTAACCTCAAATGTCTCTGTAGTCAGTACTGATTGTCATTAGCATGCCAATATAATATTAATATGTGTTTGCAGTTTATCAATTGGTAAAATACTGGAAAACACTGAGAAAGTGTAAATTACCAAAATTGATTGAAGAAGAAGGAAGAAACATAAATTTTTTAAAAAGGCCAGGTGAGGTGGCACACACCTGTTATCCCAGCACTTTGGGATGCTGAGGTGGGAGGATGACTTGAGCCCAGGAGGTTAAAAACAAATTTGCCAGGTGTTGGTGGTACACACCTATGGTCCCACCTACTCAAGAGGCTGAGATAGGAAGATGACTTGAGCCTGGGAGGTCAAGGCTGCAGTGAGCTATGATCATGTTACTGCACTCCAGCCTGGGCGCTAGTGAGACCCTGTCTCCAGAAAAACAAAACAAAAACGTAAAACAATTCTCATGTTATTTAAAATAACCCAGAGCATAGAAAATGGTGAAAAGCTGTTAAGTCATCTTATAAACTATCATAAAAGTAATAGCAAAAACTTTTTTTTTTTCCAATTAGGGTCTCACTCTGCTACCCAGCTTGGAGTGCAGTAGTGCAGTCTTGGCTCACTGTAACCTCTGTTACCTGGGTTCAAGCAATTCTTCCACCTCAACTTTCCAAGTAGCTGGGACTACAGGTGCCCACCACCACTCTTGGCTAATTTTTGTATTTTCAGTAGAGACAGGGTTTCACCATGTTGGCCAGGCTGGTCTCAAACTCCTGGTCTTAAGTGATCCACCCACCTCAGCCTCCCAGAATATTGGGATTATAGTCGTAAGCCACTGTGCCCGGCCTTAATATCAAAACCTAATAAGGGACTGGGCACAGTGGCTCATGCCTGTAATTGCAGCACTCTGAGAGGCCAAGCTGGGCAGATTACTTGAGGCCAGGAGTTTGAGGCCAGCTTGGCCAACAAGTCGAAACCCGTCTCTACTGAAAATACAAAAATCAGCCAGATGTGGTGGTGCATGTCTGCAATTCCAGCTACTCGGGAGGCTGAGGCACGAGAATCACTTGAACCCAGGAGGTGGGGGTTGCGGTGAGCCGAGATTGCACCACTGCACCCCAGCCAGGGCAACAGAGTGAGAGACCCTTTCTGAAAACAACAACAACAAACCTAATAAAGAACCAGAGGCCTGGGTGCGGTGGCCTGTAATCCCAGCACTTAGGGAGGCCGAGGCAAGCAGATCACGAGGTCAAGAGATTGAGACCATCCTGGCCAACACGGTGAGACCCCATCTCTACTAAAAATAGAAAGATGAGCTGGGCATGGTGGCATGTGCCTATAGTCCTAGCTACTCAGGAAGCTGAGGTAGGAGAATCGCTTAAACCCGGGAGGCAGAGGTTGCAGTGAGCTGAGATCGAACCACTGCACTCCAGCCTGAAGACAGAGTGAGACTCCGTCTCAGAAAAGAAAAAGGAACCAGAATATTTAGGAACTTTTACAAGTCAACAATAGAAATAAAGATAACTTATTTTAAAAATGGGCAGGAGATGAGAAGAGAGAAATCTGTGTGGAAGAATTCCAAATAATTTATGTAGCTTTTCCACATTTATGTGAAAGCAGCTGTGTGCATGAAGTGTGTGTTAGTGCGTTTGTGTATGCGTGAGTGTGACTATGTTAGTGTGACTGTTAATGTGTTTGTGTCTGTGTGCATGAGCAAGTGTATGTATATGTGTGACTGTGTGTATGTACGTGAGAGAGTGTGTCTGCATGTATGTATGTGGTGTGTGTGTGTCTGTGGTGTGTGTGCACAAGAGTGTGTGTCTGCATGTATGTGTGTGGTGTGTGTGTTTGTGTCTGTGTACGTGCTTGAACAGTGTGATTGTGTATGTGTGTCACCCTCAGGGAGAGGGAGCACAAGTTGACAGTGGAGAAACCTGGTAAACACGACCTCAGCCAGGTGTTCAAGTCAATATCAACGCTGGTAAGTCATGTCACTGTGTAGCCTCGATGTGATGTGATAAGAATAGCACCGTACCCCTGTGGTCTTCTTTCCAGAACTCATAACCTCACTTTAATAATGAGAAAAACATGAGATCAATTCCAGTAGAGGTGCACTGTGCAAAATGCCTGACCAGTACTCCTCAAAACTGTCAGGATTATCAGAAAAGAGGAAAGTGTGAGAAACTGTCCCAGCCAAAAGAAGCTTACGGAGATACGATGACTGAATGGAATGTGGTATCCTGGTTGGGATCCTGGAACAGAAAAAAGTTGTTCAGTAAAAACTAAGGGAATCAGAAGGAACTGTGAACTTCAGTTAATTAATAATATGTCAGCATTAGTTCATTAACTGTAACAACTATTAATATAAAAGATGTGAAAAATAGAGAAAACTGGGTTTCAAGGTACTTGGGAACTCTCTACCATTCAGTTTTTCTGTACGTCTTTAACTATTTTTAAAAAATAAAATTTGAAAACAGGCAGAAGAACAGAACAGACATTATTCCCCTGTGCCCTGTCGTCCTCTCCTTCCTGTTCTCTGTCTGTACATAGGCAGAGCTCTAGATCTGTGATGATGTTCACCTGGGTAATGCTATTTGGGGTAGTTTTTTTTTTTTTTTTGCTTTTTTTATATTTTATTTTTTATAATAGGTAATACTTTTACATTTAAAAGCCATTCTACAAAAAGTGAATGTCATTAAGACAGATCAGCGTATCTTCCGTATCACCTGGTACATGGTAGGCACTGTTATTTGCTGAATAAGTGAAAAAATATTTTGACAGTTAATATTCTGCTGCAGAGCCACACTGATTAACGTTTTCAAAGTTTAATCGCTTTGTTTTTAAAGATAAATTATTTATAATGTTGGTCTGCATCTTTCTTCATAGCTCTAATTAAAATTCTTTTCCTGGATTTTGTAGTTTCTGGAGCTAATGCAGTGGAAATATCATGAGAAAGCTGCAGAAAAAGGGGTTTATATCATTGGAAGCAGCGGCTTTGACTCCATTCCGGCAGATCTGGGAGTAATATATACCAGAAATAAAATGAATGGTAATTACTGATCAATAAGCAATAATGGAATTTAACAGTACAAGGGCTTCATGTTTGTAACTGGTGAACTAAAATCTAGTTGAAGAAAGAAACATAGCCTTAATTGGGTAATATTAAAACACCTGTTTTTAGTATAGCTACACTTCTAATAAAATGCTCTTGAGACTATTGTTGAGACATGATTAATACTGCATTTTACAATGAGAAATTACTGTCTCTATATAGTTTGATTTGAGCTGTAAAATTTCTGGAAAAAAACTAAAAATGTTGGCAACAGTTATAAATTCAAACTTGCTTTGTTTAGGAATCAGCACATTTTAAAGTATAATTTGTATATTATAATTAAAAGGTTAAAAAAAAATTTTTTTTTTTAGATGGAGTCTCACTCTTTTTCCCAGGCTGAGGTGCAGTGGCATGATCTTGACTCACTGCAACCTCCATCTCCTGGGTTCAAGTGATTCTTCTGCCTCAGCCTCCTGAGTAGCTGGGACTACAGGCATGTACCACCACGCCTGGCTAATTTTTGTATTTTTTATTAGAGATGGGGTTTCACCATGTTGGCCACGCTGGTCTTGAACTCCTGACGTTGTGATCTGCCTACCTCGGCCTCTCAAAGTGCTGGGATTATAGACATGTGCCACCGTGCCCGGCCATCAGGTTTTAAATTTTTAGCCAGCAAAGCTAGAAAGTATTGAACACAGAAGTGGAGACAGTTATTTAAGAATGGAGAAAATAATGTTACAAGAAAACATTTGAAGTTACTAATGTTTTACATATTTAAGAGTGTCTGTTTAGAAAATTACCTGAGCAGGGCATGGTGGTTTGCACCCATTATCTTAGCTACTTGGGAGGTTGAAGCAGCAGGACCTCTGGAGGCCAAGAGTTCAAGACCAGCCTGGGTAACACAGCAAGACTTTTCTCTAAAAAATAAAAAAAAATTATCCAGGTGTGGTGGTCTGCACCTGTAATAAGTCCCAGCTCCTCGGGAGGCTGAAATAGGAGGATCACTTGAGCCTTGGAGTTTGAGGCTACAGTAAGCTCTGATTGCACCACTGTGCTCTAGCCTGGGTTACAGAGTGAGACTTTATCTCTTGAAAAACAAAACAAGACCAAAAAAACCTACCTGAAACAGATAACTCCAGTGCTGTATAAAGTGTTCTAGAACTTAAAAAAATTGGAAAATGTTTCAGTATATATTAAAAAGTTAGCAAAACTATGAAGCCGAAGTCCAGCAAAGATAAGCGCACACACACAAACTACAAATTTTGCTCATGAAATTAGAAGTAAAAAGAAAATACTATATAAAATTTTAATAAATCCAGTGCCATTTTAAAAAGTTTTTTTTAGAGACAGGATCTTGCTCTGTCATAGCTCACTGTGACGAACTCCTGGGCTCAGGCAGTGCTCCCTCCACAACCTCCTAAGTAGCTAGGACTGCAGGCTCATGCCACCATACCCAACTAATTTTATAATATTTTTGTAGAGGTGGGGTCTCACTATGTTTCCCAAGCTGGTCTTGAACTCCTGGCCTTAGGTGATCCTCCCACCTTGGCCTTGTAGAGTATTGGGATTACAGACGTGAGCTACTATGCCCGGCTCATCCAGTGGCATTTTAGAAGAACGATATATTGAGAACAAGGTTTAGCATTAGGAAGTTATATAATCGTGTAGGATCAGGTGAGCAGCTGCGTATATGCCCATCTCAAAAAATGATCTGAAAATTCAAAACTCACACCATTTACTGATTTTACATTTTTTTGGAATTTAGGAATAGAATAGTTTCTTACATAATAAATGTGAGAAGGCAGTAGCCAGTATTGTACTTAATGGTGAAACACTGGAACCACTCCAATTAATAAGTGAAATGTGAATTGAAATATGAAATTCAATTGAAATGTGAAATTCAAAATATTCAGTGTTACAGTCTTTAGACCTAATATATCCCCATTTATTAAAATAATTCTTTAAAACCTGTGAAGTTTACAGGTTTTTTTTCATGGTAATCCTGTTTCCTGAGGTTGTTCTGTTTTTATTTTGAATAAGACTTTTTTCCTTCTTCAGGGAGAATTATTAGTTTAGGATTTGTTTAAAAATTTTTTTTCAGATGCTGAAACCTAGAAGTCAGCATCTTAACAAGTAGTGCAGCTGACTTTGGTGCAGGTGGTCCACGTTTATTGAGTTACTGCGTTAGGTGTTTTGTGTTCTTTCTGTGGGTAGGGTTAGATTACAGCCCTGTAGATCTATTTGGTAACTGTGTCCTAAAGAGCCTTCCAGAATTCTAGTGAGTGCAGTTGTTGCCTTATTGGGGGAGATTCTTAATGTCGTTAGACTTTAAATACTAAGAAGACTTTGTCAGTGCTAGCAGATAGCGTTTATGCTAGACTACTCTTTCTGATTGTTTACCTGGTCAGAGCTACTTCTTAAATCTGTTTGCACAAACATAATAAAACTGCTGTCTATACAGATTTTCTGTGTAAGCTGTAGGCTTAGAAAAGGTAGTCCCTGAGTTGAGTAGGCATTGTTTGTTATTACTTGTCCTAAATATTTCACATTTTATTTTACTTTTTACCATTCTCCTACTCTCTAGGTACTTTGACTGCTGTGGAAAGTTTCCTGACTATACATTCAGGGCCTGAGGTTGGTTTTTCTGTTTGTCTTGTGTTGTTTCAAGTTAATAGTAAAAATATTTTGGAAATGATACATGTGTCTTAAAACATATTTAGACTAATTTTTAAAATGTATTTATAATTTTTAATGTGTGAAAATCACCATGTGTAATTTTTAAAAAGATACTAAATTAACAAAATTACTTTGACTTAAAATATAATTTATTTTATTTTGTAAGAAGTACATTGGTTCAATGTGGAAAAGCGGGGCAACTTGAAGCAAAGGCAGGAAGACTCCAAGTGGGGAGGGAGCTTCCAGGTCACAGACAGGTGATACACAGCTGTTACATTCAGAAACAAGAATGAGAAAAGCACTTGTTAGAAACCCAGCTCAACCCAGTTTAAACCAGCAAAACAAAAAAGAACCTATTGATTCATGTAACCAAATGTCTGCAAGTAAATAATGTGGCTGGATCTAGATGTTGAAATGATATTGTCTGAACTCTTTTTTTTCCCCTCATTTCTCTCTTTTTATTCCTTTTGTTTCTTCTACTTTTATGTAGGCTCTGGACAGAACAGGAAAGGTACTGGTAGCTCCAAATATTCTTTGTCATAAAGGTTCATGATTTCTTGGGAAGAGCTACCAGCGTTACATGTCAAACAGTAGAGAAGATTAGTCATTTTGCTCATTCTTAAACCAGCTGATGTGACCTGGGGTAATAGAGTATGAACCTGGAAAATCTGAGACGAGTTTCAGTTAATTGAGGAAGTTAGGCTGGGCTTGGTGGCTTATGCCTGTAATCCTAGCACTTTCAAAGGCCAAGGCAGGTGGATCACCTGAGGTCAAGAGTTTGAGACCAGCCTGGCCTACATGGTGAAACCCTATCTCTTCTAAAAATACAAAAAATTAGCTGGGCGTGGTGGCAGGTGCCTGTAATCTCAGCTACTCCGGAGGCTGAGGCAGGAGAATCGCTTGAACCCGGGAGGTGGAGGCTGCAGTGAGCTGAGATTGCACCACTGCACTCTAGGCTGGGTGGCAGTGAGGCTCCATCTCAAAAAAAAAAAAAAAAAAAAAAAAAAAAAAGTTTATTTTGCCAAGGTTGAGGATACACCCTTCCTGTGACACAGCCTCAGGAAGTCCTGATGACATGTGCCCGAGGTGGTAGGGGGGCACAGCTTGGTTTTATACGTTTTAGGGAAACATAAGACATTAATCAGTATGTAAGAAGTACATTGGTTCAATCTGGAAAAGCAGGACAACTTGAAGCAAAGGCAGGAAGACTCCCAGTGGGGAGGGAGCTTCCAGGTCACAGACAGGTGACGCACAATATTACATTCTTTTGAGATTAGCCTTTCTAAAGGAGGCAATTAGATACGCATCTATCTCAGTGAGCAGAGGGGTGACTTTGAATAGAATGGGAGGCAGGTTTGCCCTAAGCAGTTCGTAGCTAGAGTTTTTCTAGTGATTTTGGGGGCCCAATATTATTTTCCTTTCCTAAGAGTAATCAGAATCAGTCTATGAATCAATTTTTTTTTTTTTTTTTTGAGATGGGGTCTCATTCTGTTGCCCATGTGGGAGTGCAGTGGCATGATGTTGGCTCACTGCAACCTCTGCCTCCCGAGTTCAAGTGATTCTCCTGCCTCAGCATCCTGAGTAGCTGAGATTACAGGTGCACACCACCACTCCTGGGTACTATTTTTTTTTTTTTTTTTTTGAGATGGAGTTTCGCTCTTGTTACCCAGGCTGGAGTGCAATGGCGCGATCTCGGCTCACCGCAACCTCCGCCTCCTGGGCTCAGGCAATTCTCCTGCCTCAGCCTCCTAAGTAGCTGGGATTACAGGCACGCGCCACCATGCCCAGCTAGTTTTTTGTATTTTTAGTAGAGACGGGGTTTCACCATGTTGACCAGGATGGTCTCGATCTCTCGACCTCATGATCCACCCGCCTCAGCCTCCCAAAGTGCTGGGATTACAGGCTTGAGCCACCGCGCCCGGCTCCTATTTTTTAAGTATAAATAAAAAGGCTTAAGAAGGATAAGGAATAGCTGCAGAACAACAGTCTAGTGCCAGACCTGGGCAACCTGTCAGGAAATTTGTTGACACTACACTATGTCAGAATCCGATCATTTTTACCACTTCCCTTGTTACCACCCTAATCTTGCAACCACCTGTTGTACAGTCACTGTGATCCTTTTCAGACAAAAACTAGACCATGGCACTCCTCAGCTCTGAATTTTTAGCCGAGTCCTTACCGTAGTGCGAATGGTTGTAATGATCTGGCCCCAGTTACCTCTCCAGCCTTCCGTCCGGCATTTCCGTGCGTGTTCCTCATTGACACTGACTTCCACTCCGTTCCTTGAACACGCCTGCGCACTTCTGCCTTGGGGCTTTTTTACTGGCTGTTTCCTTTGCTTGCAAGCAGTTCTCCCAGATATTTGCATGACTCACTCCCTCACCGCCTACAAGTCTTTTCTAAAATGTTGCTTTCCTAATTGAAGCTTATCCTGACCATCCAGTTTAAAATTGCAAACCAACTCCTTTGCCCAGCACTCCAGTTCATTTTACCTGCTGCCTTTTTCTTTTTTGCTATAGTATTTCCCACCTTCTAAATTCTGTATGTTATATTTTCTTTTGGCTTTATCACTCTCTCTAAATGTGAGCACCACAAAAGGAGGGATCTTTCTCTGTTTATTTCACTGAACACCTAGAATAGTGCTGGTCGCATCATAGCATCTCTATAATTGTTGAATGAATTCAATGGACAAGGCTAGCATGGCTTTGATTTCAAAACCTTGCAAGAACAATTCCGTAATGGAAAAATTTAGTCTAGTCTCAGGAACATAGATGTAAAAATCCTAAACAAAATTTAGTAAATTAAAACTAGTGATGGGCCGGGTGTGGTGCTCACACCTGTAATCCCAGCACTTTGAGAGGCCGAGATGGGTGGATCACCTGAGGTCAGGAGTTTGAGACCATCCTGGCCAACATGATGATACCCCATCTCTAAAAAAAATAAAAAATATAAAAATAAAACTAGTAATATATACGCAGAATAATATTTTTTTACTAAATTGGTTTTAGAGCAGGAATACAAGGTTTAACACTGTAATCTCTATAATTCACCTGATTATCAGGCTAAAGTTAGAAAATTATATGATCATGTCAGTAGATAGAGCAAAGGCTTTTGATAAAATGTATCTATTCATGATTAAATTTTACAGCAACCTAACAGTAGAAGGGAAGATTCTTTTTTTAAAAAAAAAGCTGTAGCAACCTGGGTGTGGTGGTGTGCACCAGTAGTCTCAGCTACTTGGAGGGTGAGGCAGGGATAGCTTGAGCCTGGGAGTTCAAGGCTGCAGTAAGCTATGATCACATCACTATATTCTAGCCTGGGTATCAGAACAAGAGACCCATCTCTTTAAAACAAAAACTGTAAGAAATGTGACACCCAGTGTTTAAAAGTGTTTTGCTCTGGCATCAGGAACAAGATACACATGCCCACTCTCGTTACTTCAGCCAGATCCTAGCCAGAGGAGTAAGGCAGGAAAACAGAAATTAACTGCAAATAGTTGAGAAAGGAAGAAACAAAACTATTTTCTGTAGATATAACCGTGAATGTAGAAAATAAAAAGAATCTACAGATAACATTAGAATTCATAGAAGAGTTTTGTGAATTGCTGGAAAAACTCATTTCCAAACAAGGTCACATTCTGAGCTGCTGGGGGTCAGGACTTCAGCATATCAAGTTCTGATTTTGGGGGGGGGAAGCAATTCAGCACATAACAGTGTCTTTCCAGGAATGTGTCCACTTCACCTAGGTTATCTAATTTGTTGGCATACTTGTTCATAGTATTCCTTTATACTCCCTTTTATTTCTGTAAGGTTGATGGTAATGTTCCCTCTTTTATTCCTGATTTTAGTAGTTTGGATTTTCTTTCTCTCTTTTTTTCAGTTGTCTAGCTGAAATTTGTCAGTTTTGTTGACCTCTTCAAAGAACCAACTTTTGGTTTTGTTGATTTTTCTATCCTGTTTCATTTATTTCCACAATAGTTTTTATTTTTCCTGGATATAAAATTAATATAAAAATCAGCTGTATTTCTGTATGCCCACTACAGTTAGAAGGTGATTATTTTTGTAAAAAAGACCATTTATGATACCATTAAGTAAATCAAGTACCTAAGAATGAGTAATAGAAAGTGTACAAGATTTCTGTGAAGAAAACGATAAACCTTTATTGAGGGACCAGAAAAAGACAGAAATTGAAGGATCCACCGTATTCATGGATTAAAATATGAATCCATTTTATAGTTGTAAATTTTCTTCAAAGTTGTTGATAATCTCGTACAGTTCCCACCAAAATATCACAGACAAGTTTTGTTTTGGTGTGCATCTTGACAAGCTGTTTCTAAAATGTATATCGAAATTCAAAGGGCTGAGAATAGGTAAGATATTCCTGAAACAATAAGGCAGAAAGACGTGCTTGGGTATCAAGACCTGTTATTAAGTCAATGTAAACCCTTGATTTATGGTTAAGGGCTTTTCCTACCATTTTAATTTTCTTTTTACAAATCTACTTTTATTTGTATTTATTTACTTTTCATCCTTGTGGAGTACAGCATCACAGGGCTTCTATGTTTAGTGGCCTCAGTGGGAAGGTTGCTTTGGAATTAGGCAGAAATCGTGCCACTGTTTATGTGGGCACACGTTACCTTTCCCCACATGACTCTGGTTTTGTTTGGTTTGCTGCTAAGAGTCAGTATTATTCTTGGTAGACATAAGCACATCTCCTGCCCAAATCAGATCTCCTCTTATCTCGGCCGTACATACCTTCAGCTTTAAGAAGAGCTGTGTCCTCCCTTTGGTTCTGGAGACCCACTGATAGCAAAAATAGCCTTGGACCACAGCTTTCCAGACATGTTTGTCTTTTAGAACTCCTCCTCCCAGCAGGCCTCCAAAGGCTTCAAGATGGCAGAAATAGCAAGGGGGTTTTCAATAGATGATGCTGGGAGAATTGAGTATCTACATGGAGAAAAAATGAAATTGGATTCATACTTTTGCACCCTGTACAAAAATAAGGTTAGATGGATTCTGGATGCCCTCACCATTGGTAATGACTTCTACAAAAAGACAAAGAGTCATTAAATATAATGAAAAAGTGTTACATTTGTGTACATTTAAAATTGAGAATATTTCTCAAAAGACATGGTTAAGAAAGTCAAAAGGCTAGCTGCAGTGTAGGAGTTATTTACAACACATGATAAATCCTAAGGTCATAATTTTGAGCATAAGAAGCCAAATGCTAAATAATAAATCATGCTTGATTACATTTCTCTAAAGTTTAGAAACAGGGAAAACTAATTGTATTGTTTAGGGATGAATGCTTAGGTGGCTAAATGCTGCTCAGATTGAGTAGATTAACAGATTGAACCTTTACAACTTTTAGTTCTTATGTTATACTTTTAATAAAATTGAAGAACTAAATCTGTGCCAAAATGAAAGTTAGATTTGGTATCTCTGCTTTTCAGTCTCATCAAAGCTAAGATAGGAAAACCTCAATCTTGGGATAGTTTTATTTTTTCTCTTATTTTGTTTATTAACAATGAAAGATTCCTTCATAATCTGCCTCACAGATATCCCTCCTTGAAAATCTTGTGACAGAATTAGTTTTGACAGAATTAATTTAGTCTTTCTAAATTACTTTGTTCACCTAAATAATGTAAACAACATAGAGGGAAGGATATAATACAATTATGTACAATCAAAGTAATAAATGAAGTTTAAATATTCATGAAAGAAAATTAAAAGGCCCACCTAGAAGTTAGTTAAAGAAAGGTCAGTGCAAGGCCAGGCACAGTGGCTCACACCTGTAATCCCAGTACTTTGAGAGGTTGAGGTGGGAGGATCACCTGAAGTCAGGAGTTCAAGGCCAGCCTGGCCAACATGGTGAAACCCCATTTCTAAAAATACAAAAATTAGCCGAGCTTGGTGGCAATTGCCTGTAATCCCAGCTACTTGGGAGGCTGAGGCAGGAGAATCACTTGAACCCGGGAGGCAGAGGTTGCAGTGAGCCAAGATGGTGCCATTGCACTTCAGCCTGGGCAACAAGAGTGAGACTTTGTCTCAAAAAAAAGAAGGTCAGCGCTGTGGCAGCAGGTTCAGAGGTCATGTCCTCTCCTGGGCTGTCCTCTCAGCCACTCGTTTCTCAGGGGAAGCTGTAAAGAATAGTGGGAGAATAGAAAGCCTGAGAGCTCAAAGTCTCATGAAAGGATAAAAAATAAGTGAGGAAATGAGAGTCTGGGTATGATCAAGCAACTACTAAGGACTGTGTACTGGCTGTGATACCAAAAAGAAATCAAGGGATTGAGGAAAGAAAATATACATGTTAGTGAACTTTAAATTCTTTAAAAAATTATTTTACCAAGACTTCTGTAGGAAGACAGATCTATAACTTGGGGCTAGAAGAGGTGTTGGAGGTAGATGGGGAACCAGGTGTAACAGGATGGAGAGATGGGCAGTGCACAGTGTATATATGCATAAATGTGCACGTGGACATATCCTGAAACGATGAGGAATTTGTGTAGGACAGAGGATTAGGGTGGCTATTCCTACAGATCATATGGGGCAGGAAAAAGAAAGGATTAGAGTGGCTGATCTTGAAGGAATATGGTCAATTAGGTGAGTAAAATTGATGAAGTAACACTAAGTAACTTACTACAGAGTATAAAGAATTTTAGGAGGGGAGAAGAAAAGCCTTCTCTTGGTATAAATATTGAATATGATCAAGCTCATGAATGTTACTACTGCCTAGCTGGTCATGAAAATCCACCTCAAGATGATTAAATAAGGGATTATATCTTGTCCAAATATAAGTGAAATGTTGTTTGTAACAATTATAAGATACTTGGCTTCACATTTTAGTAACTACCCCTTAAGACATGTTTCTTTAACTCTTGAAATATTTTATTAGGGGTTGAGCATTCATGATGGTACCTGGAAGTCAGCAATTTATGGTTTTGGAGATCAGAATAGTTTGAAAAAACTACGACATGCATCAAATCTGAAACCTGTCCCATTTGTTGGTCCAAAATTGAAGAGAAGGTATATTAAAATCTATTTTTAATATGTCTAAGTATATTATTCGGTTGGCTATTAATAAAGTACGTTACTAAGAAAAGCTTGGAGACTATTTTGTAGTAAGTTCAGAATTGTTTTCAAAGATAAATAGGATATAATTAATATATTACCATAAGCTTAAGTACTTCATATATAATTTGAATCCTAGGCAATAAGTGAATTTTATGACTTTTCACTATCAATATAGAAATCAACCGTCAACTAAATTTTATGTGAGAACTTTTCTCTTTTAAAAATTTATTTTAGTTTAGTTTTACACTGCAGGACATATACGAGAACTTTAGGATTTGAATTTAGGGGTGGGCTGTTAAAGTTAGCATTCTTTTTATTTATTTATTTTTTTAATTTTTCATTTGAGACAGTCTCTCTTTGTTGCCCAGGCTGGTCTCAAACTTCTGGCCTTAAGTGATCCTCCTGCCTTGGCTTCCCAAAGTGCTGGGATTACAGGCATGAGCCACCATAATCTGCCACTGATTTGCTTATTCAGACATTTGCTAAAGTTGTGGACACCATAATTGCAGGAAATACAAAATATTCATAGATCTGTCTTGCAGGTGGCCAATTTCTTACTGTCGGGAACTCAAAAGTTACTCCATTCCTTTTATGGGATCTGATGTGTCTGTTGTAAGAAGGACTCAACGTTACTTGTATGAAAATTTAGAGGAATCACCAGTAAGTATATATGGTTTATTTATCAATAAAGAATATTCTGTGTTTGTTACAGTTCCCCTATCTGTTCAATGTAGGATATTTTTGTTTATAAGGCAGAAAAAGGAAGAGCTAAATAATACATGTTTCATGCTCTGGAAATACACAGAATCATTAGGGTAGAACATTCTGTATTTTATAGCCTTGCCCTGTGATCCATACCTGGCTGCTGAATAACTTTTTAATGTAACACAATAGCAGCAAATTCAATACAGGAAATCCTGGTGTCATTAAGCACCCCAGAATCCCTGTTTAGCATTTCAGTTGCTAGAAACTCTTGCTTGTGGAGATATCTGGAACTTTCTCTGTCCCTTCTCTCCTTGCCGTCTCTGGAGTGCCGTCCTGCTTCTTTTGGTGAGGAAAGTAATTGCTTTCATTGCCGAGACTTCAAGAGGAAACTATTTCAAGTTAAAAGGTGGAGGGCATTTTCTCATAGAAGGGGTTGTAAGTAGAGTCTGCATTCTGTAGTGTATGATTGCTAAACTCAGATGTATTATGGGTGACATAGATTTTTGTGTCCAAGTAGGGGAAGGTAATTACCATTTGTAAACAATTTCTTTAAAAAGTAGGGTACCGAATAAAAAAAAGTAGGCTACCGTACTTCCTGTTCACCGGGTCTGACAAACAAACTCGGCTCCCAGTGCCTGGTTTCCGAACAAGGTTTCAGAACGGGATGCATTTGTAAAGGGGAAGAGGAAGGTACAGGTAGCTAACATTCTTGTATGACTTGGTCTGAAACGTAGGGAGTCACACGCTTTTAACTTTGTATTCTGAATCTAGGTTCAGTATGCTGCTTATGTAGCTGTGGGAGGCATCACCTCTGTTATTAAGCTGATGTTTGCGGGACTTTTCTTCTTATTCTTTGTGAGGTTTGGAATTGGAAGGCAACTTCTCATAAAAGTAAGTAAGATTTTTATGAAATTAGATCTTTAGAAGTATTTTCCATGCGTTTTTAAAAAATCACTGAAGGTGTTTTTGTTTTTGTTTTTCCTTTAGTTCCCATGGTTCTTCTCCTTTGGCCATTTTTCAAAACAAGGCCCAACACAAAAACAGGTAATACTTTCTTTTGTGTTCAGATCACTAAAGTAATATTTTTCTTTTGTTTTTACTTTTCCTCAGTGCAGTGACAGTACCATCGAAGACTTGACCCACTGTGCTTCAGACACTCTTTATGTAAATGAGATTATAGCTCTGTGCTTAAATTATGACAGGATATTCTGGCAGATAAAATAATGTTTTCGTCTATTGAGAATGTCTCATTTGGAATAGAATAGTCAGTTTCACTCTGGTCCAGGAGGAAATGATGTGTTTATTCAATGCACCCTTTGCTTTCTTTCACAGATGGATGCCGCATCATTTACGTTGACATTCTTTGGTCAAGGTTACGGTCAAGGCATGGGTACTGATAAGAACAAACCAAATATCAAAATCTGTACTCAGGTGAAAGGACCAGGTATTTCACATATCACTTAAGAATGCTGAGAAAAAAGAAAAAAGAAGAAAAAAAAAAGAGTGCTTTGGGAGTTTTATACTCTTAAGCTATAAAGTAGAATGCCATTACAATATATTCGTTTTAAAGCTTAACTGTTTTAGAAATACATTTGTACAAATTTAAAATTATTCTGTAGAAGACTGAAACTTTGATATAATCCAATTTTATTAGTGCATCCTTTCCTCTGGCTTTTTTTTTAAATATGATTCAGTAATTCAGAATAGCAAATTTTAATTAGTATTCATAAGAAAAGGGATTGGTTGATATTAACCTGTTTGAGTCTCATATGCAACTAGTATAATTATAACAGCAGTCAAATCTGTGGTCTAGGATTTCATCTTTTTTTAGATGGAGTCTCACTCTGTAGTCCAGGCTGGAGTACAGTGGCGTGATTTCGGCTCACTGCAACCTCCGGTTCAAGCAGTTCTCCTACCTCAGCCTCCGAAGTAGCTGGGATTTCAGGCACCAGCCACCATGCTCAGCTAATTTCTGTATTTTTTAGTAGTGATGGGGTTTCGCCATGTTGGCCAGTCTGGTCTTGAACTCCTGACCTCGTGATCCTGCCTGCCTCAGCCTCCCAAAGTGCTGGGATTACAGGTGTGAGCCACTGTGCCAAACCTAGGATTTCTTTAGTGTCTCTGAATACTCTGACATTGTTTGGAAAATATATGCACATGTGCACTTTTCCAGGGGTGGGAATGGCTTCTGATAGGTTGTTAAAAGAATGTTGCCCAAAAACGTTCAAGAACTTGTGCTAAAAGTTTTAGAGAACTATGCAGAGACAGGTCCACTTGTGAATTGTAGTGTAATTACTGTCATCCCTGATAGGTCACAGGTTCTTATTTTTTATTTTTTATTGAGATGGGGGTCTCACTATGTTGCTTAGGCTGCACTCAAGCAGTCCTCCTGACTCAGCCTTCTGAAGTGTTGGGATTACAGGCATGAACTGCCATGCCTGGCCCATGGGGGATTTTAATCAAGCCAGATGACAGTGTGTTTCCATCTTGCCCTTTTTTCAAATTCCCACCTGGCTTTTGAAGGTAAGTTGACTGTATTTTCATTATTTGACAGGATTACAAATGCCTATGTTCCCTGTGTTTATAAACTTTTTAAAAACTTCAGTCAGTTGTTTTCTTTAAGAAAAAATTGAGAGGGGTTTTTTTGTGTGTTGTTTTTAAGTGAAGTGTATGAATACAGATAGGGATCGGCTCAGTGTAGTAGTAGGGAAACAAAAAGCTGAGCATCACTGGCTTCAGTCACTATCAAGAAGCAGTGCAGTGGATGAGAGTGTGAACTCTGGACCAGGTGCCTGGGTCTGATTCTGACTCAGTCACTACATGTTAGTTTGGACAAGTCACTTAACCTCTCTCTGTGGGATAAAAAGAGTATTGACCTTATATAATTGTTATGAAAATTAAGTAAGTTTGATAGATGTAAAGCACTTAGTACAGTTCCTAACACTTAATAAATACTATAGAAATGTTATTTTTGTTAAGTGACCAGAATGTCTATTGAAAAAAATCTGTATACCTAGAGTTAGATATAAAATCTACCATTTGGTGTTTGATGTTGTTGAACGGATACTTCATGAATGCTTTCTTTTTCCTTGATCAACTGTTTCTGCAGAGGCTGGCTATGTGGCTACCCCCATAGCCATGGTTCAGGCAGCCATGACTCTTCTAAACGATGCTTCTGATCTGCCTAAGGCGTGAGTTTGGTTTTCTTTTAATTAGAAGATACCTTTTTTATCTGTGTTATATTTTAGCTTATTTTGATTTGATTTTCAGGCTTTGGGTCTGCACATAAGCATTTATAGTTCAGTTCTTTTGATCCAAAATATAGTTAAATTAGAACCGTGAGAAGGAGAGTTTCTTACCAGCCCAGAGCCGGTCAGAGGAACAAATGAGGAGGTAAATGAGAGGAGAGAGAACAGTTTTCATAACAATTATATAAGATCAATACTCTCTTTAGCCCACAGAGAGAGTTTGAGAACTGTAAGTTAACTTTAGCTTCCTTATAAAAATAGCTCAAGTCCAGAGTCAGACAGTCAAAGAGGGCCCCTGTTGCTAGATCATATTACTAGGAGCCTCCGGTTAGTGCTGAACTGTACCCCGCTGGCAGTAGCATCCCTGACTGACACCGGCATAAATGGAATCATGGGATCCTGGCTAGATGATGATCAGACCTACTGTCTTACTGGAGCATTTAGCTGTCACCCTAAAACTAGGCCACCTTTTCAAATGAGCATAGGCCTGCTGCTGAGAAGTAAATCAGGCATGACCTAAAATGGGATTAATAATAAAAGAAATTTTATATAGTGAAACCTAATTAAATTTTTTAAATACTTATGTTCCCTTTGAAAATATTTAGCATTTACAAATTATATTTTTAAGAACTTATTTTTCGTCCAATTTAAGTTCTGTTTAGACTTTAATAATAATTGATTACCTAAGTTTATTCCATTCACGTCTTTCTTTAATCCCCCTGAGTCTGAGGACTGCCTTTAGAAATAGCAGCAGTTCTTCAGGGTGATGACACCTAGTGTGCCCCTTGAACACACGCATAGAATGGAAACAGCATGGCCAGGAACAGCCGTTGTTGGCTGTTGCCAGACAGCATTGGCTGGGGCGCTAGTTTCTTCTGACTAATATTGATTGGGCTGATTTTAGGAATGGAGTCAAAGGTAGCCATGATTAGCACGAAGACTCAGGTTTTCATGAATTCTGTAGCAATTTGAGAGTGAGGCCGATCAAATAGGAGAAGACTGGAGAGGAGCGTGTGCACTGTTTTCTCTTGTTATTGTTTTGCAGGGGCGGGGTCTTCACACCTGGAGCAGCTTTCTCCAAAACAAAGTTGATTGACAGACTCAACAAACATGGTATTGAGTTTAGTGTCATTAGCAGCTCTGAAGTCTAAACATTTGAAGAATTAACTGAAGTCATAAAGTCCACGAATTAGCAGCTTCTCTATTTGATATTTGAAATTATTCTATAAGCCTCTCTAACTATATGTGGAAACGTTTGTCAAATCTAAAATATTAAAAGCAGGAAATTGTCCTAGCTTACGCTAAATTTCAAATCTCAGCTGATTCTGTGATTTTATTGCTTATGAGGGAGAACTCACATTTGACATATTTTCTTCACTGTGTTCCGGGTAGATGTCTATGAATGAGCTGGCAGGTCTAATGAGGGAGGCAGTGTCCCAGGCTGTGTTGCCGCCAGCATTGCTCATTATGGGTGCGCAGACCAGCCCTAGCGCAGGGCGGTGACTGCTGCTCGCCTTGCCGCAGGGGGAAGGAATCTCACCTTCTGTGTTTCTCTGTGTGCTGTCTTGAGCCTTTGCTAAATGAAACTATACTTTTTCCTATTTTAGCCTAGTTTTTCACTTATCTACAGTGATTTTGGACGGTTACCTAAGTTGGAAAATAGAGTTGTCAATTGAATGGTGTTTTTGGACCTGCCTATGTATTTGTAAGTGGTAGAAACGTGCTGCTTAAGGGGTCTAACCTGTTTCTTGCCAATAAGTGGACTTATCATTTTATCTTTACCTAATTCTATATCTGTGATTAGGTTTAAGGATACAGCTTATAAGTTGCTATCTATTTTCACTGCCTAAGCAAAATTTTTCTCTAATTAACTTTCATATTTTACCTAGTTTTACATGGAAGCCCTAAAATAAGGCAAAGGACTTTTTCTTCTGTGATAAGCATATAATAAACATACATACATAGTGATCGTGTTGTTCATTGCCTAAACAAGACAGCCACTCGTTTATGGAATTTCTACTAAAAAGTGAGGAACATAAACTATGCAGGAATATGATTTGTATTGGTAGACCCTTCTGTTCTGCCTGTGCAGAAGAAGGGGAGGGTATCTGACTTGAAGAGGGGGATTCTTGGTGGCAGTACTGCCGACCCTAACCCTGCTTCCTCTGTCCTGGCCTGGTCATCACAAGATACAGATTTTGGTCTCAGCTCTTCCCTAACTTGTGGGACCTTAGAAAAGGTTTTATCAGTTTTAAAATTAGAAAGCAGTCAAGGAGCAATAGAGCCCATGTCTAGCTGCACATCTGAATCACAAAACAATAATAGGTTCCTCAGTACCTCCAGGAGTTTGCATTTAGGAGGTCTGGAGGTTGGAGTCTCTGTGTTTTTGATATACATTTGGGAACCAGTAGGTGAAGGTACATACTCTCTCCGTGTGTCTAGCTTTGCAACGTATGCTCAAGCATTGGCTCTGATTCTGAAGGTAGCAGTGTGCCCCATCCTCGGGCTTGAGGTACAAGTGTGTCTCGTCCTGATTTTCCTTTTAATCCCCCAAGGCTCTACCTGCTCTCATTTGCTGAAAGTTTGAGTCACCTCAGGCCAGCAGACTGCAAATTGTCTGAAACTCTGAGGCTCAGTTCAACAGATAGAAGCCATTCCTGCTCCCAGTGGCCAGGCAGAGAGAACTGGAGTCCGCTCAGCCTCTGCTGTTACTGTTGTCTCACTGACAGTCTTCCCAGGATTCGGTGATGCCTTTGCTGACACTGTCCTGGCCGTTAACACGAGGTGCTCCACACTTGGGCTCCAGAGTTGTAGCAGTTTTCTCTATTCACTTGTGTGTGTTGTCAGGACCTGAGCTGTAAGCAAAGCCCGTACCTCCCTTATGAATCCTTGAACCCTAGTATGAACTGAAGTCACTAGCCCAGATTTCCTTGTCTTTCTAGGGAGCTTCCTTTTCGGAGCTCGTGACAGCCTCTCCTGCCAGTACAGCTTCCTCGTCATCACATTTGACCTTGCTTAACTTCATGTTTTAGGGAGTAAGGATTGAGGTGGTCACATCTTATTTTCTCCTTCCTGATTTTTTACACAAATCAGCCAGGACTCCCAGGGACAGTCCTAAACCGTTAGGCAGCAGGCCATCACGGTTAGGGATACAGGCTCTGACATCGGCCTCTGTGCTTACGTGGCCTGGACAAGTTACTCAATCTTACAGAATTATCGTGAGAATGAAATGAGCTAACACGTTTAGTACTTAGATTGGTGCCTGGCACATGGTGTATGCACTTACTAAGTTTCAGCATCATCACTACTGTTGTTATTAGAAATCTGTCTTTGGGCCTGGCGTGGTGGCTCACGCCTGTAATCCCAGCACATTGAAAGGCTGAGGTGGCTGGATCATCTGAGGTTAGGAGTTTGAGACCAGCCTGGCCAACATGGTGAAACGCCATCTCTACCAAAAATACAAAAATTAGCTGGGTGTGGTGTCTGCGAGGCTGAGGCAGAAAAATTGCTTGAATCTGGGAGGTGGAGGTTACAGTGAGTTGAGATCGTGCCATTGCACTCCAGCCTGGGCGACAGAGCAAGACTCCATCTCAAAAAAAAAAAAAAAAAAAAAAAAAAGTCTGTCTTTGGCCACAAAAGTTTTCTTTTTTCTCTTTTTTTTTTTTTTTTTTTTTGAGACGGAGTTTCGCTCTTGTTACCCAGGCTGTAGTGCAATGGCGCGATCTTGGCTCACCACAACCTCCGCCTCCTGGGTTCAGGCAATTCTCCTGCCTCAGCCTCCTGAGTACCTGGGATTACAGGCACGTGCCACCATGCCCAGCTAATTTTTTGTATTTTTAGTAGAGACGGGGTTTCACCTTGTTGACCAGGATGGTCTCGATCTCTTGCCCTTGTGATCCACCCGCCTCGGCCTCCCAAAGTGCTGGGATTACAGGCTTGAGCGACGGTGCCCGGCCTCTTTTTTCTCTTTTTAACTTTTTCAGTTCAGGGGTACATGTGCAGGTTTGTTACATAGGTAAAGTGTCATGGGGGCTTGTTGTATAGATTATTTTGTCTCCCAGGTATTAAGCCTAGTACTCATTAGTTACCCTGACCCTCTCCCTCCTCCCACTCTCCACCCTCTGAGAGGACCCAGTGTGTGTTGTTCCCTCTGTGTATTCATGTGTTACCGTCACTTAGCTCCCACTTATAAGTGACGACACGTGGTATTTGGTTTTCTGTCTCTGTGTGAGTTTGCTGAGGATAATGGCCTCCAGCTCCATCTATGTTCCTGCAAAGGACATAATCTCATTTTGTATGGCTGCATAGTATTCCATGGTGTATATGTACCACATTTTCATTATCCCGTCTACTACTGATGGACTTTTAGGTTGATTCCATGTTTTTGCTATTGTGAATAGTGCTGCAGTGAACATACACATGTGTGCGTCTTTATAATAGAACGATTTATATGCCTTTGGGTATATACCCAGTATTGGGATTGCTGGGTCAGAAAGTATTTGTTTTTAGGTCTTTGAGGAATAACCACACAGTTTTCCACAATGGTTGAACTAACTTACACTTTCACTAACAGTGTGTAAGCATTCCTTTTTCACTGCAACCTCGCCAGCGTGGTTTTGTTTGTTTGTTTTGAGATGGAGTTTTGCTCTTGTTGCCCAGACTGGAATGCAGTGGCATGATCCTGACTTACTGCAACGTCCGCCTCCTGGGTTCAAGTGATTCTCCTGCCTCAGCCTCCGAGTAGCTGGGATTACAGGCATGAGCCACCATGCCTGGCTGATTTTGTATTTTTACTAAAGACGAGGTGCTCCACGTTGGTAAGGCTGGTCTTGAACTCCGGACCTCAGATGATCTGCCTGCCTCGGCCTCCCAAAGTGCTGGGATTACAGGCGTGAGCCACTGTGCCTGGGCTAGCAACTGTTATTTTTTGACTTTTTAATAATAGCCATTCTGACTGGTATGAGATAGTATCTCGTGGTTTAGGTTTGCATTTCTCTAATGGTCAGTGATGTTGAGCTTTTTTTCATCACATGATTTTTAGCCATATCTATGCTGTCTTTTGAAAAGTGCCTGTCATGTCCTTTGCCTACTCAAAAAAGATTTCTTTACAGCCTCTCCAAGAGTGCTCAGTGTCTGTCAATCCTTGACTGAGACGCATCAGTCAATTTGTGGAATCAAGATTGGCTTCAAGATAGACTAACTCCTAGTAGATTTTCTTACTAACATTTGTAATCCCCGAACCACAGGCCCTGCACTGAAAAGGTCCCATCATAAGGGCACTCCTGCTGCTTAAAAAATTGAACATAACAGTATTTCAAATGAACTTATAAGAAGAGAAAAATAAGTGGAGGTAGAATTCAGACTTGTTCAGAGCAAGATACAAAATGAGGGACATGAAAGAACCATTGTCTGTAGGTCTGACAGCAAGAAAATAGAGTTTCATTTGCAGTTTTGAACTGTTCACCATAAAAATACTAATGGCAAATGCTTATCACTCACGTCTGTGTGTCAGGCACTGTTCTGAGTGCTTTATGTTCATTAACCATTTTCAGCAAATAGTATTATCCTTCCCATAAAACAAATAAGGAAAGAGAGGCTTAGAGAGGGGAAGTCAGTTGCCCCCAGTCATGCAGTTGGTAAGTGCTGGACTTCAGCAGGATCTAACCCGAGGCAGTCTGATCTGAGCTCCAGGCTCTTCATTCACTCTGTCCCTCCTCCCACCTTCCAACTGCAAATAGACCCCAGTGTGTGTTGTCCTCTCTATGCGCCAGGAACATAGGCCACTCAAGCAGCTGTTAGGTTATAGAGATGATGGACAATCACACTGAAGGAGAGTTTTGCTTAAAAGTGGTACAAGAAATCGGTTAAGTAAGTGGGAAATGAGGTAGGCTCATTAGCTACACAAATAATCTTCACAACTCAAAGCTCAAATATTTTCAGTTTTCAGTTGGTATGTCTTCACTATTTCATATGCAGTAAATATTCTCTCTTTTTTTTCACTATAAGAGCAACATCATTTTTCAGTTTCCACAAGCTGGATTCAAGTAGATCCCCCAAATCCTTAAACATCTGTGACTGTTGGCATACAAATGGTTGAAGTAGTTGATCATCTTCCTAAAAGAAAAAGTGAAAAAATGATAGTGATAGACTTTGTGTCATGAGAGTAGAAGTCTTGTGTGTGTGAGGGGGTACCCAGCAAGCTTTCCCTCTGGGACAGAAACCTGCCTTGGAAAGTTGCCAGCAGAGGCCCTGAGGCACCTAGGAGCAGGTTTGTTTCAGAAAGGCCTCCCGAATGATCCTTAGCTACTACCAGTAGGGAAAAGTGGCGAAATCATTCAGATCTTTTCAGTGGGAATGTGACATATGTCTTTTAATACTGTAGAAGGAGCCAGTGGGTGTCAGGTTCTCCCATGGGCAGGGTTTTGCCGATGCTTCCCCTAACCTGTGGAGGCAAGTCCCCTGAGAACTGGGGTGCTCTGGGGTGGAGTGCTGGAGACAAATGGTGGAGGAGGTGGTAACACACTCACTGAAAATGAGAATGGCAGAGAGCAGGCAGTGTGACATGGCAGTGTGTTTTAATTTGTATTTCCCTGAGTATTAGTGAAATACTGTTCAGATCCTTTGCTGATTTTTTCTAATGTGTTTTCCAACATATTCTCTCTCTCTCTTTTTTTTTTATCTTAAAAGTAATTTTAGGCCAGGCTCAGTGGCTCGTGCCTGTGATCCCAGCACTTTGGGAGGCCAGGACAGGTGGATCACAAGGTCAGGAGTTTGAGACCAGCCTGGCCAATATGGTGAAACCCCGTCTCTACTAAAAATACAAAAATTAGCCAGGCGTGGTAGTGCATGCCTGTAGTCCCAGCTACTCAGGAGACTGAGGCAGAAGAATTGCTTGAACCTGGGAGGCGGGGGTTGCAGTGAGCCGAGATCGTGCCACTGCACTCCAGCCTGGGCAACAGAGCGAGACTCTGTCTCAAGGAAAAAAATGATAATTATTATTTAATTTGAACACTAATGGTTGCTAAGTAATACTAATATATTTTCCAGGCTGTGGTTTATTTGAGACTTTGCTTATGGTGTCTTTAACCGGTTATTCTTTCTTTTTCATTGGGAGATACAGAGGCCTAGTTAAAGTGAGCACACCTGCTCTGGAGAGCCCACTGCCTCACACCTTCTCCCCCTATCCCAGAAGGAACCGCTAGCCTGACTTGTGTGGTAATCATTTTCTTGCCTTTCTGAATAGTTTTACCACCTGGACTATATATCCTTGAACAGTGTATTTTGCCCGTCTTTGAGTGTTTATAGACTCATATTTGATGTCATCTTTTGTATCTCGGTTTCCATCACTGTGGGAACACTGTTCTTGATGCCTGTGGTTGTTGTTCATTTTCATGGCGATGTAGTGTTACGCAGTATAGAGGGGGCCAAAACTGACCCATCTTCTGGAAACATACATTAGGGATGATTCCAGTTTGGGGCTATTACGGAAGAGGGTCTTATGAACAGCCGTGCACATAAACTAAGATTTCTGTAGTCTTTTTCAGCTGACCCCTCGTCTGCACCACAGAAGTGATTTGAGTAACTCTCAATCCTCTCAGGAATGTGTGTCAGCAGTATCATTCTAGATACGTATGACAGAGTTAGCTTATTTCATGTCCGATGCCTTGGTGCAGTAGGTTCTCAAACTTTAAGGCAGAATCATGGAGAGGGTTTGTTGAAATGCATGGTACTAGGCCTCACATCCAGAGGTTCTGATTCAGTAGTTCTGGGGAGGGCCCTGGAATTTGCATTTCTAACCGGCTCCTAGATGCTGCTGAAGCTGCTTTGAGAACCTCCCTGCCTGAGGGAGGGCATTAGGGATTAAATCTCAGCAGAACCAGTTCACCTCGGGAGGGAAGGAAGAGTTGGAATTGCATGCTTCTAGGTTATAGTATCTTCAACTTCTAATAGGTAAATGCCAAGTAATTTTAAATGGTTGTACCAATTTATACTCCTTTCAGCCATACATGAGAGTTTCTGTTATTTCATATCTTCACCAAAACTTGATATTGTCAGGCTTTTTAATATGTTTTGCCAGTATGGAAGGTTAATAATGGTATCTCATTGTGGTATCAATTAGTATTTATGCAGTTAAGCACTTTTCCATGTATTTATTGGTATTTTTAATTTCCTCTTTTGTAAAGTTCCTGTTCAAATCTTTTGACCATTTTTTTCCCCCCATTGGGTTGTCTGGTTTTTGTTTTGGTTAGTAGTAGTTCTTTATTTTGTATATAGTTCATTATATGTTAAATGTGTTGCAAAGAACTTGTCCCATTTTTTTGGGCTGTTTCATTTTGGACCAAAGTTTACCATTTTAATTTAGATGAATTTATCAGCCTCCCTCTTTAAAGCTAGGGGTGTGTGTGTGTATGTGTGTGTGTGTGCTCCGGCTTTAAAGCTAGGGGTGTGTGTGTTTATGTGTGTGTGTGCGCTCCGGCTTTAAAGCTAGGGGGGTGTGTGTGTGTGTGTGTGCGTGCGTGTGTGCTCCCTCTTTAAAGCTAGGGATGTGTGTGTGTGTGTGTGCGCGCTCCCTCTTTAAAGCTAGGGGTGCGTGTGTGTGTGTGTGTTTGTGCTCTTTAAAGCTAGGGGTGTGTGTGTGTGTGCGTGTGTGCTCCCTCTTTAAAGCTAGGGGTGTGTGTGTGTAATGCCTAAGAAATCCTTTTCTACTTTGAGGTCGTAAAGACAGTCTCCTAAAGTCTCTTCTGATGGCATTAGAGGCAGGGCATGGTGGTTTATGCCTGTAATCCCAGCACCTTGGGAGGTGGGGCCAGAGGATCACTTGAAGCTAGGAGTTCAAGACCAACCTGGGCAACATAAGATACCATCTCTATTTTTAAAATTATTTTAATCAATAAAAACATTAGGGTTGTGCCTTCTACATTTAGCTCTTTAATTCTCACCTGAAATTGACTTCTGGGATAGCTTTAGATGGGAATCCAGTTTCGTTTTTCCCTTACATATTTCTTTTTTTTTTTTTTTTTTTGAGACGGAGTTTCCCTCTTGTTACCCAGGCTGGAGTGCAATGGCGCGATCTCGGCTCACCGCAACCTCCGCCTCCTGGGTTCAGGCAATTCTCCTGCCTCAGCCTCCTGAGTAGCTGGGATTACAGGCACGCGCCACCATGCCCAGCTAATTTTTTTGTATTTTTAGTAGAGACAGGGTTTCACCATGTTGACCAGGATGGTCTCGATCTCTTGACCTTGCGATCCACCCGCCTCGGCCTCCCAAAGTGCTGGGATTACAGGCTTGAGCCACCGCGCCCAGCCTCCCTTACATATTTCTAACTTGCTTAGCACTGTGTATTGAAAAGTTCTTCCTTGCTACACTGATTTGCAGTTCCACTTGGTTGCAGATCAAGTCTGTAGTCCTGAGTAAATCTGTTTCTGAGCCTTCTTGGGTTATCTTATCCACCTGTGGGCCAACTCTGTTACAGTCATTCAAATGAAGTGCTGATATCAGGTAGGGCAAGTCTTTCTGCCTTGTTCTCGGATCTTGGCCTCATCTTGGCTGGTTTTTGCTTTCGCAGTTCCGTACAAATTGTAAAATTATCTTGTTAGGTTCTGTTAGATTTGGTTGGAATCACGCTGACTTTTGGGGGAGAACTGACAGATGTACAAGAACAAATCTTCCCAATCGTGGAGACACAGCAGTTTCTCTCTTTATTTATATTCTTTCAAACATCTCTCAAGCAAGTTTTAAAATTTTCTCCATATAACCCTTACATATTTTATGTCAGCTATAGGCCTAAGTATTTCATATATTTGATGTAATTAAAAATGGTATCTTTTATTTTAAAAATAATTTTCTGCTTGCTGCTGTTACAGTCAAATACAGTTAAGTTTTAAGTCTTGATTTTGTTTCCAGCAATTTTACAATTTATTTATAAATTCTTGGGGATTTCCTGTCTATAGAAGCACGTCATCTGGGGATAATACTAGAGGCAGCACAGTGTGGGGGGAGGGAATAGACTGGGAAACAGCACTGGTGGGGTCTAGACCTCCGCCCTGCCACTCATGAGCTGTGTGTCCTTAGACACATTATGTAACCTCTCTTGTACCTTGGATTCATGAACTGTAAAATAAGGCTAATAATAGTACCTGCCTCATAGGGTTGTTGTGAGAATTGAGTCAGTAAAAGCACTTAGTGTTACATAAGTGTACGCTATTATTGTAATTACTTTTCTTTCCCTTTCCAATCCTTATACGTTATATTTCTTGCCTTGCTGCACTGGCCAGAAGCTAAAGGACAGAGAGAGGTAAAGAAAGCTGGTTTCCAGGGCCTCCTGATCTGAAAGGAAAAGCTTTCAGTCGTTCATCACTAAGCATTTTATCCCGTGTGTGTGTCTAAGATTGATTGCCTTTATCAGATTCAGGAATGTGCACTTTATTCCTAGTCTGCCAAGACCTTTTCTTGTCACAGGATGTTTAATTTTGTCACATGCTTTTTCTGCATCTGTCAAAGTAATCAAATTATTTTCTCTTACAATCTCTTAATATGATGAATTGCATTTGGTTTTATAATGATAAATGGGGTAGTCTGTATGTTATATTGTAAAGTGAATGGATAACGATCCTGCAGTGACCTGGTTCCATGGTTGCATGGAACCAGCCAGATGTGCACTAAAATAAAAAGGTCAGAGCAAAGGCGGATGGCGGCCTGAGAACTGCTTTTGCAATTCCATGTAATTGCCGTAGATACACGCCTACAAAGCAAGTCAAGCACGGCCACCTCCACTTGCTCTTCTGCTTCAAGATACACATCTCCAAGCTCAGGAAATACATCAAATGTCTCAGTTTGATGGGAAGAAATTCTATTTCCTCCCAGGATTCCGGTTACTTACAGGAGGTTTGTACTGCCTCAGTCTGAAAAGCTGCCCTCTTGCCGTGTTCATGCTTTGGTAGAACACCTTGAGAGCCTTGGCAAATTCTCTGTCGTAGCTGGCTTGCTGTGCACACATGTGGCTCACCTCTCTGGCTGATGGCAGTTGTGCTGTCATCCCGCTTATCTTCAGAGTGTTGGAAGGCTTATGGGCTGAGCTGGAAAGAAAAGGTAACATTTATTTATGCATCTATTTCTTGAGGCGTCTCTGTATTTATTTTGGTAGCACTCTATGACATCAGCAGTTATCAGGCACCAGTTTGGATCCACCCAAAGGAGATCTCACAGGGCAGAAGAAAAAAAAAGTTCTGCACTTTTTGTTTATGAAACAAGATATGAATTAATTCATTTAAAAGGTTGTTTCTTAAAAGACAAATACACATGCCTAATGTAGGAGTCCAGGGATAAGCTAAACAGCCAAGACTTGAGCAGTCTCTTACCTTGACCAGAAGCAGTTTTCGCAAGTGATTCTTTGAGAAGCATGTTCTCCTCTCGGAGGTCTCTGTTAATGTTTCTGAGCAGTTCTGTCTCCTGCTCTAACTTGAACAGCTTCAGATAAAGTTCTGGTATGTGGTTTGATGCAGCCTATGAAAAAGCTTGCCAGTTTAGTCTTTTGTTGTATCATCTACATGTCCTTTGAGACTGGCAGTGTTCACTACCATGGGAAAATCAAATGGGATGGGGGCGTGTGTATGGTGAGCAGAGTTTATGCCCCTCAGGGTTACACAGGAGTCAATAAAGAAAACGACTGTTAAGGAACGTCAAGCAGCTGTCATAAGAGGTTTTCTAGCCACCTGTGATGCCCATTTTAACTGTCATATGTACACAGCTGTCGTGTATCCTTCACAGTGGAAATTTTCTTGGTGTCTACCAGGATGTGGCCTTTACCTGTGACCATGAGACCCAGCTGATTGCAGCTCAGCTCGGTGCAGCCTTCTGTAGTGGGGAGAGACACAATCAAAGAAAGAAACGTCTCAGTTCATGTGAGAAGCTGTTAAAGCATGTGATCACCCTGCAGGACTAGAACCCAGAGGGCCAGGGGAAAAGATAGCTCTGGACCGTGACCACCCCCGTCCTCTGCCTCATCTGCAGCCCTAAATGCACGGCATTATGTCTGATGGAAGAACGCACCATGTGAGAGAATAAGTAAGCAAGGTACCTTGAAGGCCCCATAGGTCAACAATAAGGGCATTTGTCTGCAAATAATTCAGAAACTCCTGAGATGCATTTAAGGCTGTAAATTGGATGGTGTCTTCAATTCGTGGATTCACACTTTTCCATACAGGTTTGGTATAGATGGTGTTTGGAAGGTCATAAATTCTGTACCTGAGAAAAATATAAAACAATTTAAAACCAGAAGGGACACATTTGTAAAGAAAAAGGACAGATAAGCCAGAGATTTACAGCCCATGTGTCAGATAAAAATTACCTATAATTGATTCTCATGTTTACACATCCAACGTCTTATTTATTCAACATGGATATCATCACTATATAGACAATAATTTTTTTTTAAAAGCCATGGCACAATGGCTCATGTCTGTAATCTCAGCATTTTGGATGGCTGAGGCAGGCAGATTGCTTGAGCTCAGGAGTTCAAGACCAGCCTGGGCAACATGGCAAAACACCATCTCTAAAAAATATAAAAATTAGGTGGGTGTGGTGGTGCATGCCAATAGTCCCAGCTGCTCAGGAGGCTGAGCCCAGGAGGCGGAGGCTGCAGTAAGCTGAGATTGCTCCTCTCCACTGCACTCCAGCCTGGGCAACAGAGCGAGACTGTCTCAAAAAAACAAAAACGGATCTCAATACATCCCTTCTACTTAGATAATCAAAAATCATTAATTTTCCATGTGAGGTGGTAGTTTGGTTTTTGTTCTTCAAAGTCTCCCTTTATTGCCCCTTTTTTTTTTTTCGAGACGGAGTCTTGCTCTGTTGCCCAGGTTGGAGCGCATTTGCGTGATCTCAGCTCATTGCAAGCGCTGCCTCACAGGTTCAAGCAATTCTCCTGCCTTAGCCTCCCGAGTAGCTGGGATTACAGGCCCATGTCACTGTACCCGGCTAATTTTTGTATTTTTAGTAGAGATGGGTTTTCACCATGTTGGCCAGGTCTCAAACTCCTGATCTCAAGTGATCTGCCAGCCTAGGCCTCCCAAAGTGCTAGAATTACAGGCGTGAGCCCCCGCACTCGCTCTGCCTTGTCTGTTAATATTCTTTTAGCCTAATTAGTTTAAAGCACATCCGGTGCTTCTGCCATGTCATACAGTCCTTTTGTTTCCAACTACAACTCAAACTGTTGCTTAGATGATACAGTTTTATGAGATTCTTTCTGATATTTGCAATTTCTACTTCAGTTCTGTAAGAGTTCAGCACACACTGACCCCAGGCCAGAGACCTGGAGGGACATGTGGCCCCTCTATTAAATAGATGGGGAAAACAGTCATCTTGGAGTTAGACAGAGAAACCTCAGAAAATGTTGTGATAAGCTCATTTTTAAAACTTGAAGAATGACTGCACTGCCTCCCCCAGGAGCCGCAGGGCGGGTAGGTGTGTGTGGCTGGGTTCGGCACAGGCGGGTACCCTATCTGAATGCCCCGCTTTGCGTCTTCCTTCATCCACTTGATGCCAAGGCACCGGACAATGTGAATCTGGAAATCCATCCTCTTGCCCAGCAGCTCCAAAGGGTCGATAACCACATCCTCCCCTCCATGTGTTCTGCAAACAGAGGGGACCGTTGGCCTCCGCCTAGGCTGGGGTAAGATGGTGATGTTAAGGGAATTAAATAGAACCCTGAAGAGAGCTAATTTCACTGAAGACAGGATAGGTTGTATTGCTAACAGTGGAGTTCAAAGACACTAGACATAGACAAGAGCCCATTACCCTGGCACATCAAGGTTTAAGATCAGGACCTTCTCAAGGGTCTCCCTGCCTGGAGGAAAGAGAAAAACAGCCTCCTGTGATAGATGCACACAGGTGTGGATGCCAAACTTGCACTGAAGATTTAGGGAGGTCCCGGGACAGTGAGAGAGGCAGCCGACTGCCCAGATGCAGACTCCCAAGCTGTCATCTTGCTTTTCCTTCATTTCTTTGTAGTCCAGAGACAACCCCAGCCCTATCAGCTCAGAAACTGACGGGCAGCTTTCCAACAAGGGACCACTGTCATACCAACCAGGCTCTCGAAGTCTGAAACCTATAAACTGGACTGCTACTTTATTAATTTCAACAGGAGATACAACTCGCTGGGCAGCCTGGAAGCTCCAGGTAGCCAAGTGACCAGAGAGATGCTTGAGTAAAGACAGTGAATTGCTGGTCAGCTTGGTTTCTTGGTCATGGAACCTTGAGGTTCTCTTCTTGAGCTGATTTCTTCAGGAAGATGACAAGGTTGCACTGAGTGCCTGTGAGCGCCGTGGCACCCAGACCAGGCCCCCTGCCAGCCTCCTGACTTAGGATTGCTAAAAGACTTGAGCTTTTGTAAAAACTGTGGTCTAAAGAAGAAAAACATGAGTGTTTAGAGAGGACAGGGAATGGGTAATGAGGCAATGTTTAGGACAGAGCCGATAGCTCAAAACAAAGCCCGTGCCCACAGCAAGGTCAGGCGACGGCACAGAGCGAGGTCGGGCACCGCAATCCCTACCTCGAGAAAAGAGGGGAGCTGGAAAACCAGCTGCTACTTCTGGCTCTTGAAGCAGGTGGGGCCTTGGGCATGGGAAGCACCCTTCGTGGCAGATGCCAGGCTCACAGGCCAGGAGGGAGTGTGGCTGGGGAGGTCCTGCAGCCCGCTTGGCCTCTCTCCTGAGGGTCCATTGTTTGGAGCCCACCCAGCTCTTTTGGTTTTGTCCAAGGCTCCTTCCACTACACCTGCCTGTTGGCTAAATGTCTCCCTCATTCCTTCATTCCCCCCGGGCAGTGCTGGGCTGTTGGATGTGGTTGGGCCTTCCAGGCCAGCTGATTTGGCTGCCGTAGCAAAAATCAAATTTGTTGCGGCCAAATGGTAAATGAATGAGCTCATTCATTTGTCTTAGGAATGACGTGTTCAGGGTCCCACGTTGACCACCCCATCAGGAGAACTCAGGCTTGCTCTGGAGTTTCTATGTGTGACCCAGAACTAGGCAAGGGGGAGAAGGAGACACTCACTGTCCTGTGGGGGAGCAAGGTGCCATGCAGATACGCAGCACGGCCTCCTCCAGCCCGTCGCAGTTCAGAAACTCCGCCTGCTCCTCCGGCTTCCTGCAGTAGGCCAGCGACTGGAGCCAGATGTGAGCCGAGCCCAAGTGGGTGACCTCGACGGGATCCCAGAAAGGGTCGTCGTCTTGAGCCACGGGGCTGTCGTCTCCATCTAGAAAGCGCTGGTAACGTTCCTCCATTAGGAATTTCCTATTGATGAACTTGGCTTTTGACCATATCCACACCTAGAGACACAGAGGTAAGTCACCAGTGTTTGAGTTCGTCTGCTGCTCTAACAATTCATCGCTCGATTTTCCCCAGCACGCTCCCTCCATTGACTGGGTTTGGGGTACTCATGACCATACGCCACTCTCTCCTAACTTAGCTTTATGAGGTCAAGAATACGGTATTCATTCTCAGACCTGCTACTTCAGCACTGCCTGGGCCTAGGAAGTGACTTAGAGGAGATGACGAAGGAGTTAGAAAGCAGGCCGTCTCGGGAGAAATGAAGATCCGGGGATTGCGCTGTGCAGAATGGCCCTCAGAGACGCCCACATCCTAATCCCCAGAACCTGTGAATGTGTTACTTTACATGGCAAACGGAAATTTAGGTTTTTCATCAGCTGACCTTAAAATACGGAGATTAGCCTGGATTATCCAGGTGGCCCTAATGAAATCACAGGGGCCTTCAGTGTGGCAGAGAGAGGCAGAAGAGAGGGCCCAAAAGAGCTGTGACAATGCCTGCGGGGTCAGGGAGCAGCCATGTGGTGGCTTTGAGGGTGAAGGGAGGTGGCCTCTGAAAGCTGGGAAGGGCCGGGAAACAGCTGCTCTTCCTCAGGCCCAGAAAGCAGTATAGCCCTGTGGACACCTTGCTTTTAGCCCATCGAGATCCAGTTTGGACTTCTCATCTGTAGAACTAGAAGGTAGTAAATTTGTGTCATTTAATGAACCTGGTAATTCATTAGCAGCAGCCATGGAAGATGATGTGGGGTAGTTAGTCTGGAGAAAAGCTGGGAAGTGGCTCCTCCGCCATGACTGGAGTGCGCACACATCCACACGCAAAGGAGACACTCCTCGCAGCCGTGCCAGCCGATCACAGCGGGCATTCTGAGCTCCCTTCGGCAGAGACCCCGGCAGGTCTCATTCCTTGTTCAGGAGCTGACGCCCAGTGGGCAGCGAATCCAGGACAAGAGCCTGCTGTTGTCTTCCTCTTCACTGGGTAAGGACGGGGCCGCTGTCAACACTGGCTCTGGAGAGGGACGAAACCTGAAGCCACAGGATTCCAGTTAGGTAGTTTTTAGACCATAGATGTCAGGTAGAACTAGCAACTCCTTTTCTGGGCAACTTGAAAAGCAAAAACAGAAGTCAACAGATAAATCATTCTCTGTGCGTGTGATGTATCCTCATAAAAAGGACACTCTACTCTGGAAACAGATTGCAGCCTTTTCTGTTGGCCTCAGAGTGAAGAACCATACATAGTTCTCTCCTAGAGGCAGCACCACAGTGAGATAAGAATGTGGGGCGGCAGGGAACAGCAGGAGCTCTAGTCATTGTGGTATTTCTGTTTGTGTATTTTTCTTTTCTTTTTAAGACATGTGATCTCCCTCTGTCACCCAGGCTGAAGTGCAGTGGCCCAGGCATAGCTCACTGCAGCCTTGAACTCCTGGGCTCCGTCGGCCCTCCTGCTGCAGCCTGAGTAGCTGGACTGTGGCATGCACCACTGCACCGGCCGATTCTGGTTTTTCTTAGACTTTAGGCTAGGGAACTAAGATTGTGGGAATCTAGATAATACATGAATTCACTGCCTCATTACCTGTGGATATCGGACCACAGGGCTGGTGTCAGTTAAAATGGCAGTGTCATCCTTGGGCTGAGGAGGAAGCAGGTCAGCGGTGCTCTGTGACAGGCTGGGAGCCCAGGCTGACTCCCTCCTGCTCCCAGGTGGGCTCTGCAGGCTCCGAGGGCCCTGGCGGGATGTGCTGCTCACCCAAGCCAACAGCTCTTGGGTGAATTCTGCTGAAAAGTAACCACAAGCTGGCAGCATTTCAAGGTCGGAAAACCCTCCCAGCCCTCACACAGAGCCCTGGTTTGCTCCTGAGCTTGTCCGTGCTTGTGAGACTCCAACAGTTGCACAAAACTGCACGTGGACACTGCATCCTCCGTGAGTGCTGCAGCAGCAGCCACGGTCCACACCAGGCATCCCCAAACTTTTTCCACAGGGGGCCAGTTCACTGTCCCTCAGACCGTTGGAGGGCCGCCACATACTGTGCTCCTTTCACTGACCACCAGTGAAAGAGGTGCCCCTTCCTGTAGTGCGGCGAGGGGCCGGATAAATGGCCTCAGGGGGCCGCATGCGGCCCACGGGCCGCAGTTTGGGGACGCCTGGTCCACACAGGCGGGAGGATAGGTGAGCACTTACGAGGTCAGCCAGCAAAGTGCCACTCGTGTCTGTAGCTGGGACCCACAGGTGCCTGTCCCGTGTGCACTGCACACATCTCTGCACCATGTCACAGAGACCCACAGATTACAGCCTTTCCGAGGCCTCCTGACGGCAGCAGGGCTTCATCTGAGGAAAGGTCACTGGTACTGATCACCTGTTGTTTTGCGACAGGGTCTTGCTCTGTCGCCCAGGCTGGAGTGCAGTGGTGTGGTCACAGCTCACTGCAGCCTCAACCTTGTCAGGCTCAGGCCATTCTCTCCCTCAGCCTCCCCAGCAGCTGGGACTACAGGTCCATCATACCCAGCTAATTTTGTATTTCTTGTAGAGATGGAGTTTGCCCCACATTGCCCAAGCTGGTCTCAAACTCCTGAGCTCAAGTCATCCACCACCTCGGCCTCTGCAGATCTTGGGATTATAGGTGTGAACCACCGTGCCGGGTCTTCTCTTACTTGTTTCAATGTAAAAATGGACAGCCTTGAGGATGGCAGATTGGTAAGGTTCACATCTTCATGAGAAAAAAACCCAGACTGTGCAGCCCCCTTGAGAGAGAGCCTGCTGTGTCAGCAGAAGCCACCCTATCAGACAGCTCCTGTGCTGGTGACGGGATGCTGGTTGAGGGAAAATGACATTGCAGAATGAATCCAGCCCTCAGCCCTCCAGTGCAGTTCTCCTAGTGATAACGTGAAAACACCGTCTTCTGCCCCATTTCTGGAAATCACAGGCAGGCCATCATGAGCGCCTTTGTGTGCACTCAGTAACCCTTCGGCTAGCAAGTTTAAAAGGCGATTTTTCCACTTGCCTTACACTATAATACAAAATAAACAGAATAGCATGGAAAAGGGATTTTTAGAACTACAATTTTTCTTAAGACAGGAAACTGCCAAGCCAAATTCTGGGGAAAGACTGGCCTGAGAGAAGTACCCGGACTGCCGGGCACCAGAGCCAGCTTGCCCCAGTGACTTTTGCTGGAAAAAGAAAAATGAAAAGCACAAACACACTGAGGGGTCCCTCACGAGGCCTCATGGAGCATGGAGAAGTCCAGTCTGACTCCCCAGGGCATCACACAGACCTGCTTGAAGGGGCCGGTCTCTGAGGAGCTGGGTTCCAGGAGGATCCTGGCTCAGTTTCCTCCTTGGGGCAGGATTGGCAGCCCCAGCACCTAGAGCATGAAACCCTGTGGACAAGGTGGTGGGCACACAGGTGCTGACCACATCACATGCATATATACATATCATCATCTCTCATTTCACAGTTTTTAAAAGCTTTAAAAAAAAACTGGTCTTGACCCAAAACATTTTGGCAATTTTCGGGCAATGAGCAGATGAGCAGAAAAGTGAAACTCGGAGAAGCCCCAGTTGCTGAGCAGAGAGGGAGCATCCGGGGTGGGGGCCGGAGGTGCAGCCGGAGGGCTGCTCCAGAGGCCTGATGTGTGCACAGGGGCACTGCAAGATGGCCTGCATTTTCTGTTTCCTCCTTTGAGGGCAGACATGGGGAAGCAGGGTCTTAAGTTCCTAAAATGGACTTTCCTGATAGCAACATCAATCACATCAGCCAGTGAGTTGGTGAAACGGCCTTTTGTGGAGTCCCTGGAAGCATGGTTTTTCTCATCGCTGCAGAAAGGCAGCCTGTGCGTTCCTGTGCACACACACGCATGCTTGCACATACATGCACATATGTACATGGACAGACACCACTACCACTTGGGTAAACTCTCAGGCTCCCTCCTGGTACAAAAGCCTTTGAGTCATATTCGGCTTGACCAGATGCTCAGTGCAGGCAGCTAGGAAAGCTCCCAGGAGCTGCTTCGGTGAGGGAAAGGACTTTGGGACAGGGAGCAGGAAAGAGTGTCCTCCTGCCCCCCAGAGCTCCAGCTCATACTTGGAATACATTTTGCCTTTCCTTGGTCTCCAGGGCTGCAGCTGGTAGAGAGAGCCTGTGTCCTGTGGAGCTCACCTCCTGAGTCCTGCGGTTGGTCACCTTCACCATCACCTCCTTTAGGTCATAGCCCCTGGAATCTGATGATGCTAAATTCTTCACCTTCAATTCCATGTTAAGTCCCTGGTAAAAGAAACACTTCTCACTAAATAAGCCTACATTCGGCCAGGCACAGTGGCTCACACCTGTCATCCCAGCACTTTGAGAGGCTGAGGTGGGTGGATCGCTTGAGCTCAGGAGTTCAAGACTAGTTTCAGCAACATAGCAAAACCCTGTCTCTATAAAAATACAAAAATTAGCCAAGCATGGTGGTGCACGTCTGTAGTCCCAGCTACTTGGGAGGCCGAGGTGGGAGGATCACTTGAATCTGGCAAGTGGAGGTTGCAGTGAGCTGAGATTCCACTACTGTACTCCAGCCTGGGTGACAGAATGAGACCTTGTTCAAACAGACAGACAGACAAACCCTGTATTCACAGCTTATACCACCTTTGCAATTTATTTTTCATCCTCTCACCCTCAGGCTTCCAAAATTATGAGTGAATAAGATTTTCTCCTTTTTTTTTTTTTTTTTTTGGAGATGGAGTTTCGCTTTTGTTGCCCAGGCTGGAGTGCAATGGCTCAATCTCAGCTCACCACAATGTCTGCCTCCCGAGTAGCTGGATTACAGGCATGTGCCACCAGGCCCAGCTATTTTTTTTTGGTAGAGATGGGGGTTTCTCCGTGTTGGTCGGGCTGGTCTTGAATGCCCAGCCTCAGGTAATCCACCCACCTCAACCTCCCAAAGTGCTGGGATTACAGGCATGAGCCATCATGCATGGCAAGACTTTCTTTAAGAAGGTGTCCCACCCTTGCCCCTTGGATCCCACTAAGAGGAAAGACAGACCACCAGATTTTCTCCATCATATCCTGGAACTAACACTTGTAGTCCCTACCAAATTGATTACATCTCTGACAAGGTTCCTGCTGATGCGATCGCATGTCTTCAGGGAGCTGTCCGTTTCTGCGGCCCGGGTCTTCTCTGTGGCACAGCAGCCAGCAGGGTGCCTAGACCCGAGGAGGCCCCAGGACAATCTGGGATGGCCTGGTCATGGCCAGCAAGAGTTGGTCTGGGATCCTGGTGGCCCTGGTAGGCTGTTGGTGAAAGGAGACCTGGGACTGGGCTGGGTAGTCTGGCTTCTGTCACTCGTTCCCCGAGAGTCCTTGGGAAAGCACGGCCACCCCGACGAGCCCTTGAGGTGCTTCCTGCAGCTGACGTAGCAGCTCCTGGCTGTAGATGAATTACCTTCTTCAGCTCTTCACTCATTTGGTTGGCTTCTGCAACCAGTGGCATGAGTTTGATGTAGTCCTGGAACACAGCCAGGACACTGGGGTCTGCCGTACCGTCTCCACTGTCCGCAGCACCTGGTGACAATCACGATGGAGGTGACAGTCAGTCACTTGTTCTACTACGAAGGCTCACTGCAGCCTCCACCGCCCGGGTTCAAGCGATTCTCCCGCCTCAGCCTCCCCAGAAGCTAGAATTACAGCAGTGAACCACCACACCTGGCTAAGTTTTGTATTTTTAGTGGAGATGGGGTTTTGCCATGTTGGCCAGGCTGGTCTCGAACTCCTGATCTCAGGTGATCCGCCCACCTCAGCCTCCCAAAGTGTTGGGATTACAGACGTGAGCCATCATGCCAGGCCCTTTTTTTTTTTTTTTTTTTTTTTTTTTTGAGACCGCTATCTTGCTCTGTTGTCCAGGCTGGTGTTCAGTGGCATGATCTCTGCTCATTGCAGCCTCTACCTCCCAGACTCAAGCAATCCTCCCATCTCAACCTCCTGAGTAGCTGGGACTACAGGTGTGAGCCACCATGTCTGGCTAATTTTTAAATTTTTTGTAGAGATGAGTCTCACTTTGTTTCCCAAGCTGGGTCTTGAACTCCTGGGTTCAAGCGATTCTCCTGCCTTGGCCCCCCAAAGTGCTAGGATTACAGGCATGAGACACCACCCCCAGGGACCATGTATAAATTTGTATGCTCATTCATTGATTCGTTCGTTCAACTGCTCATCAAATATCTACATTTTAAAATTACAAGCATGTCATTAAAAAAATCAGAGGAAAACGACACTGTCTGCTTCTCCTTAAGTAGCTGCTTCTCTCAACCGTTGAATCCTGGCCACACACAGGAGGCCCTCTGCCCCCAGTTCTTATTCTCGGTCTCAGGGTCTGTGACCCAAGGTGGCTGCAGACTGAGGAGGGTGTGGTGAGGTGAGACCTGGTTGTCTGGACAGAAGGCCTGGGACGTATCCTCAAGCTGTGGCTGGCACAGAAAGCGACCTGTTCTTCTCTTATACTTGGGGTGGCTTGAAGGAGGGGCTCGTGGAGATTATGGGAGGACCAATCTCCTTCCCAAACCCAGGCTAGTACTGCCTCTAATCAGGACCTCCCAAGTCTTTAGGGACCCCTGTCCTGTGAGTGCACATAGTGCCCTTGGCCCTGGGGTCCGATCCCAAACTGTCCACACAGCTGCTGCCTTGCTGAGGACATAGGTCTTTGCTAGGGTCTGAGCCAGGGTCTGGGGCTGGTTCAGCTTCATGGCACCACCAGCCCTACCAGGGATACAAGGGCAGTGGCGCAGTCAGCCTGGGACCACAGGGTCTTGCTGGTTTGTTTTTAGAAGTTGATCGGGCGCGGTGGCTCACGCCTGTAATCCCAGCACTTTGGGAGGCTGAGGCGGGTGGATCATGAGGTGAGGAGTTCAAGACCAGCCTGACCAAAATGGTGAAACCCTGTCTTTACTAAAATTACAAAAAAATTAGCCAGGTGTGGTGATGGGCACCTGTAGTCCCAGCTACTCGGGAGGCTGAGGCAGGAGAATCACTTGAACCCGGGAGGCAGAGGTTGCAGTGAGCCGAGATCGTGCCACTGCACTCCAGCCTGGGCAATAAGAGTGAAAAATAAAAAAATTAAAAAGTCAATAACTTCAGCAGAATAAGAGCAAGGAGGCGAATGTCAAATCCATTTATTTTGCTAAAATTCTGAGCGAAACACTGTGGTATAGGAAACAGGGAGGGGGGCTCTTACATACACGCAGGAGGATCTGCCCGCTTTCCATCAGCGTTTTCATTACGGTGAGTTCAGGCAGAGCGCCGGTGCTGAGCGAAGCGTGGGGCCCCTCCAGGTAGCCCGCACACCACTGAGATCTCGGCGGGGTCTGGCCTCACCTGGATTCTGGGGGAGCCACCCTGAGCGGGTGAACCCGGGCCTGGGGCAGGAGCGGGGAGGGTGTGCAAAAGCCCTACCTGAGACAGGAAGAGGTGGCCGGCCAGCATCAGCGCTTCTGAAGGCTCTCACCTGGGAGGGTCCAGATTATTGCTGGGGGCTGAGTTAAGGGGAGCAGGGGAGCTTCTGTCTCAGAAGCCCAGGGCTGTGCGTGCTTCTGGGCCACGCATTTCCAGCCCAGAGCAGGTGCCCAGCCGGCTCCTCTCGTGTTGAGGCGCTGGTTCCGCTGGCCCAGCAGACCCCTGGGGGCGACCACAGGCCACTCACTGGCTTCCCCAGCTCAGCATTCTTCCCTTGTTTGCTGTGCACCCCACTCTCTTATCTGCCCTTTGAACCATCTTTTTTTTTTTTTTTTCCCCCGAGACGGAGTTTCGCTCTTGTTACCCAGGCTGGAGTGCAATGGCGCGATCTCGGCTCACCGCAACCTCCGCCTCCTGGGTTCAGGCAATTCTCCTGCCTCAGCCTCCTGAGTAGCTCGGATTACAGGCACGCGCCACCATGCCCAGCTAATTTTTTGTGTTTTTAGTAGAGATGGAGTTTCACCATGTTGACCAGGATGGTCTCGATCTCTTGACCTCGTGATCCACCCGCCTCCGCCTCCCAAAGTGCTGGGATTACAGGCGTGAGCCACCGCGCCCGGCCTTGAACCATCTTTACCCTCATTCGTCAGGGAAAGTTTAATGAGGTTTTTTAATGTGCACTCACTCTATATGGAAATTATAATTCAATTTTGTAAACATTAGACTTGGACAAAACAAATGATTTTCTTAACGAAAGCAGAGAGACAGAGTGTGAAATCGCTGCCCTCAGATCACCACGGGAGGGGCCCTCGCCGAGCCTGTCCGCGCTCACCCCCTCCGCGGCCACCCTCTCCGGCTGGAAGACGTCGTCACCGAACCTGCTGAGGGCGTCACTGCCCCGCTCTGAAGGAAACCCCACATCCAGGTCGGTACCGTTGGATCCAAAATGAGGCGGTCCTGGGGAGGAGGCAGTGGGCTCAGGAGGGCATTGAGGCCAAGGAGGGTGAGGTGACCTCGCGGTGAGAAGGACCTGAGGAATGTCCTTCCCTCCGGAGTCCCCCAGACAGGGAGCGACGCAGACGCAGTGAGGGCGGGTGGCAGCTGGCTCCTGCGCTCACCTTCATCCCACACACTGAGGGTGCAGCTCCCTTGGCCCTGGGGGTCCATGGGGACCACACAGAGCCAGGCCCTCCCTCCACCCGTGTCCAGGCTGGCCCGGGCAAGCACAGCCTCGGCTGCAGGGGACACCAGGGCCTAACTCTGACGGCGGGTTAGAGACAGCCTCTTCTGAGGGCTGATGCTCAAACCGAGCGCTCCTGCGTGGTTAAGTCTTGATGAGGCAGAGGCAGCTGCTGCAAACCCACGGGAGGGGCAGCGCGGCCAGAAAAAGGCCGGGGAGGTCCCTGAGGGGCTTCCCAGGAGGGGCGTGGCCAATCCCAAATTGCCTGTCCTGTCTGAAAGGCTCCGGCCACCAGCGGGGTGAGGGGCTGCAGGAGAGCTGGCAGGAGCCCAGGGTTGGCAGAGTGGGGAGGAAGAGGCGCTGATGTGGGTGAGATGCGTGTGGCCCCACTCAGTGACAGGCTCTCAGAAAAACAGAAGATGTCACAAAACCTTAGAGCTGGAAGGGACCTTGGAAGCCACCTAGTTCGGCCCATCCTGTTTTCCAAGTGAGGGCAGAGAAGGGAAGTGACTTCCCAAGAGCATCCAGCGTCAAGAGCAAGCCTCTCCCTCCCGCGGGTGTGATGCGGGCCCCGCCGCATGGCCGCCCCTCCCAGCTGTCTGAGAGTCCGTCTGAGACACCGACAAATGGCGTTGTTGGTGAGCAGGGCAGGCTGATCTTTCGAATTTGCACAGGAAGTTAGACTGGCAGCTGCAGAAGATGGCATCTGGGGCCTCCTCGGTGCCTGGGGACAGCATCGGACGCAGAAGGACCCCGCCCTTGGGGAGCACCGGGAGTTGGGAGCCAGCAGGCAAGGCTTCACCCACAGGACGACACCCGCCGAGGGAGCTGGCCAAGGGTGGGGGTGGGGGGCGGGGGGCAGCGGGCAGGCTCAGAAGAGACGCGGGAGGGAGGGGCTCTGCGTCCATGCCACAGAAATTCAGACCTTATGTTATCATAAGATTTGGGGCTGGACGTCGGGGGTCTCCGACTGGCTTTCCCGCTCCCGCCCCGCTCCCCCACAGTGGATGTCATCTGTGTGCCCTGAGTGACGGCTTCCTGTCTTTTTTTTTTAAGATGGAGTTTCACTCTTGGGTGACCCCTGGGTCAGCACCCCTCACGCCACGAGGGCCCGTGGGCTTTCATACGGGGAGGGTGGTCTGTCTGAAGGATGGCGTTTCCCAGCTGGAGAGCTGGAAGCAGGAGGAGAACCAGTGGCCTCTGGCGGGGAAGCCACAGAGCTGGGAGACAGCTCTTGACAGCCTGACGCCTGTCACAGGATTTCCCAGGGGCTCCTGCAGGACATTCCTGAGGGGTGGTCACTCCACAGGGGGCCTCGCTGTTAGTCCAGGTGGTGAGGGCTCCACACGCCACGACAGACCCGAGGGTGCGTCTGTGTCCAGGCCGCCCGGCGGCTTGTACGTTCAGCCTTCTCTACTGACACGTTTGTGAAGAATCATGCACAGAATCTAGAAACCAGCTTGCCCTTTCCTCCCAGGGCTGGAGACCAGGAAGCAAGCCAGAGGACGGAGCGCAGAGGCCTCCGCTTTCTTAGAGCAGCCCTGGAGTAGGTGGCCTGGGAAGGTCTGAGAAGTGTCCCTGCCTGTCCTGCTGGCTGTGTGGCTTTGCAGAGCTCTAGATGGAGGGGTCGTGATTCTCCACTGCTGGACAAGGACACTGATTCCTAGAAACTCACCCCAGACCTTGAATTGTGATAGCATTTGAAGCAGCCTGGCCAGCGTCACAGGAACCCGAGAAGAATCAGAGTATAATTTATTGTCAAAATCAGACACTTTCCGAATTTGCCCTTAAAAGTTAACACGGCTGATGTTTTGGAAGTGACACATTCTCTGCAGTAAGATGGTATAAAGGGGTTTTTCCTATTGGGATTTTCAATCATAATGGTACTTAGGCATAATTCTCTTTCTGCCTCTTGTGTGTCTGTGAGGGAGAAGAGTTCCTAACTTTTAAAAAGTTCTGCCTTCTTCGTGGGCATTCTGGAGAAAGAAACCACTAGGTCTAGGCCTCAGGAGGCGGCTGAATACTAGAGAGGCCGCAGGAGAAGTTCTGGTGTTTGAAGCTCCATGCAGACAGCGTCACTGCTGCTTCCGGGCGGCCTCGCGCCCCCACCCCCACATCCCCACGGCCCTCTGGCACAGAGCCCTCTCCGCCGCCTGGTCCTGCATGGAGCCCTCGGGGCTATCTTGGGGCCCACAGCCGGGGAGGGGAGGCCAGGGGTGCCTGTGTTCCACGCAGGTCACTCATTCAGGTCGGGAAGACAGCTCAGGGGCTGATTCCCTCCTTAGAAACTGCTAAACAAAAACGTAACAAGAACCTGCCTGGATAACAGATGAATGAAATGTGGTGTGTACATCCCAGGGATGTTGTTCAGCCTTCAGGAGGAAGGAAGTTCTCACACATGCTGCACGGAGGCACTGAGGACATTCTGCTGAGGGCAGAAGCCCGTCAGGAAAGCGTGAAGAGGACCGCATCTGAGGTCAAAGGCAGAGTCGGGAGGGAGGACAGTGGCTGCGGGGCTGGAGGGGGAGGGGCAGCTCGCCTTTGTGGGCACAGAGCTTCCATTTGGGAAGATGAAAATGTCCTGCAGGTGGATGGTGGTGACAGTCACGCAAGATCAATGTACCTAATGCCACTGACCATCTTAAAATGGTTAAAATGGTGAGCTTCATATATATTTCGCCAAAATAACGAATATTTAAAAACAAGAAAGAAACATGCCTGTGGGGCAAGAAGTAAGAGCAGGGTGGGGGCAGGGCAGAGGGAGGACAGGGACAGGGCAGGGGGAGGGCAGAAGGAGGGCAGGGGGAGGGGAGAGCAGGGGGAAGGCAGAGCAGGGGCAGAGAGAAGGCAGGGGGCCAGCTGAGTACTGGCTTGAATGAAGTGCTTGAAGACCCCGGTGAGCTGTGGGTCCTCATTGACGTTAAGAAAGTGAGGGCAGGTCTGCATCATCTGCCGCTCCTGGAGAAGTGGAGAGGGTGGGCGTCACTAGACGGCAGCAGCCTGCTCTGGAGAGCAGTATGTCTTTCCTGTCTCTGCACCTTGTCAACCCACCTGGGGAGGGGGGAAGCTGAGGGGGCTGGGGCATTGCTGATGGTGGGGTGGGGTCTCAGGCGGGCCGGCGGTCAGCAGTCTGAGTCCATTTGGATGGGAAGGTTCCCAGGCACCGGCTCCCCCACCCTCCCCAGCTGCCTGGATGCCCCACTCTGGTCCCCACCTGGGCAGCCCCTCCGGGGGTCTCCATGCAGCCTGTCATTCTCCTGAGGTCCTGCTGCTGGCTGAGAATCAGACGTTGGTGGCAAAAAGTGGGGTGTGCCATGAACCCTTGCCTGGGTACCTGAACGCACGCCATTCTTTCACACAGGGGTTAAGGGGTATTGTGGCATAGAGAATTGAGAGTAGACAAAGGCATCAGGAGGGCTTTTACATCTTGAAATCTTCTGACAGAGTAAAGAGGGCAAAAATCCTTCCAATTTTGACTGTATGTGCAGAACCCAAAATTCATACTCCTGCATGTGACCCTACTTGACCCTTGAAGCTAAGAGTCCCAGCGCCCTAAGCCCTAACCGTCTGGCTTCCTGATGCCACAGACCCCACCCTGCTACACCCCCAGGCCCCAAGGCTATGGTTAGGCAGCGAGCTTCTGGAATCCCCAGCTCCGGGCCCCGAGTACTTCAGGTCTGATCCTCGACTTCAGAATTTTCCCAGGGCTTCGTGCCATGGGGAGCGGGGCGAGGTGGAAGCTAGGGTGGCGAGGGGCGGCACCCATGGTGGAAATTCACATCACAGCCTGCTTAGGGTGTGATATGAGCAGCGAATGCCAGGATCAATACTGTAGCTCAGGTCACACCATGCAGTCCCCAGAAGACGACTTACATCTCTCAGATTGTCCCCCAACTCTCATTACAAACAGCCCTGAGTGCCAGGCCCGGCCTCAGGCATCGCCAGGCACTGAGGCCTCCCTGGCTCCCTCGCTTTCATGCCCTGCGGTTCTCTCCCTAGCTCTGCCAATAGCACTATTACCAGTCACACCTTACACATTCACCGAAAAAGCCTCGCCACAGTCGGGCCTGGACGGCCGGACAAGATGGCAGCCTGTGTGGGAGCCCTGCCCTGTGCTCAGCCTCCACAGGTGGGGCGGCTGGAGCTCACCTGGGCCTGCTCCAGCAGGTGTGCCCAGGTCAGCGGATCAGCACGAGTCCCCAGCTGGTGCTCCACCTGGAGACAGGCCGATGGCTCTGGAAGGAGGGAGGTACTTTAAGCAGTGGATCTGGAGTGCCAGCGGGAGGTGTGGGATAAATAGAGCGTCTCCACTTGATTCTCAAAGCCCAGGATCCCGGCAGGAGCAGGAAGCTGCATCACACTTACAGATGAAGACGAGATCTTTCGGTAAGTGTTACAAAGACTTCCAATTCCCCGCCTAATTCATAAGACGTTAGCGCAAGAAGGTGCTTTAAACGGGAGGTCTGAGTTCAGTGTTCTGTCTCTTGGTACTTGCTTAGGCTGTCATGTAAGTCATTGCTACAGGGAATTCCCATGGGGTGGGGGATTTGGGAAGCATCACAGCTCACGTTGTTTTCCACGTAGTCCGTACCTGTGCGTGTGAGCCGTGGGAATTGTATGCTATCCGCGGGTCAGCACCTGGCATGTCCAGTGTTTGGTGGGACAGAGATTTGTGACAGGCAGAGCCGGGCCCGGGCTAGGCATGTTTACTGACTCTGATTTAGGGAGCACTTTGTTGAGGCTGATGCCTCGGTGAGTCGTGTCATGTGCCTGGGAATGGGCCAGGTGGGGCTCAAGGCTGGCCAACCCTCTGTCTTAGCCAGAGGTCCTTTGAGAAGCTGGGCATGGGGGTAGGGGTGCAGGAGGTCCTGCCACTACCGGAGAGCCCCAGGAGGGAGGGAGCCCTTTCAATATTGCTGCTTCGATACCGGACACTCGGGCCAATTTCACCTCAATAGTTTTATTTTACCCTTTTATCCATCTCATT